CCTAAGCAGGTATCTGTATTCGAAACTCTATTTGTTTTCTGAAACATCGCAGGATAATAATACAAGCCCTTCGAAAGCAATTCGTACCAGAAAATTAGTTTTAAGAAGTCTATTTCTGATTTGTTTCAGACAAAAGTCTACTTAGTTCAGATTCTCTAAGGGCTTAAAATACAAAATTTAGCTATGTCTGTAGAACTCTTGTTCTTGTACTCTATGCATATTGCTACTTAATTATTAATTAATTTTACTGTAAGTTTACTTCCCTAGAGCATAAATACTTGTGGATAGAGATATAACGTTTTAACTCGGTTACCTACACTAAGAAACTGCGATATTTCATCATTGAAACAAAATATTTGAAGTTATAGGCTTAGTGCATTTCAGATGATTTCGAAAAATTCCGACCGCAGCGCTCTATACGGCAGAAATCAGAAATTTTCGCTATGTATTTCACGCCGTCCCGGTTACAGTTCGTGTTGATGGCATTAAAATTATATTGAAATCGGGGCTTTGTCATAATATTTAAGTATTTTAGTTTTCTGCAAGTTACAAAAAGTGAGTTAATAAGATTGCCGAAAAAATGTTAACGCGTAAAGGAGAGCGTAATTAGGGCGTTGTTGCGTGCAATAACATTCAATAACTCAACTTTCCCAGATATTCAACTCTCCCGAATCAACATTTTATAACTTCACAGCTTCTCAAACCGATTCAAATCGATCAAAATCAAAAATGAATTCAAGCAGTTCGTTCAAGCAGTTCGAAGAAACAAGTGAGAAAAGAAAGTGCCCATGTAATGGGCACTTTCAGCCCGTTCAGAGCGTATGCAGGTTAATTCAGAGCACTTTTGAAAAATATGGAGAGGTCTACAGGGTGTCCCCAAAAAAAGTTACAATTACATAATCAAAAAATTAAATACGCCTTTGAGCCTCTCATACGCCGCGGAGGCTCCAAGGAGAACGACAGTTTATATTGAAATGAAATTTTGTGAGCGTATGCAGGTTAATTCAGATCACTTTTGAAAAATATGGAGAGTTCTACAGGGTGTCCCCAAAAAAAGTTACATATCAAAGTTGTGTTTTTTGTAGAATTAGAATTAGAATAAGTGGGAGGGGGGTTAATCTCTGCGACCTTAGAGATCTATTGTGTCCCCCTTTCTTGAGTTATAACTCATCATACAGTCCCAGGACTTCCTACGGAGACCCGTGTCCCTCACAGTCGAGGAGCTACGACCCAGGCCGGGTAGACGAAACGGTAGCTTGTGTCGCCTGGGTTTAGAGGTAGGAGGTAGGCTCCCGACCCTTGGAGGAGGTGGTAGCTTGTATGCCACTTGCGGAGGATGGTCTCACGCAAGTGTCAGCCACCTCTCCTGTAGTTCTCTTTGGGTTTGGCCCCTTGGAACTTTCATTGTTACTGTTCCCAGTGTCGCTAGGGGGTTTCCCCACAGCTTCACCGGTGATGTTTTTATTACTATTATTACCAGATCTCATAGTGTTCCTATGAGTCGCTAGGGACAGTCGGTCCACTTCTACAGAGCCCCGCATGTAAAAGTAAGGGGTAAAATACAATGGGGTGCCCCCCGGTGCCCCAAGGTTGAGGCTGTCCGTAGCCCCGCCCGGTATCGTTATATGTCTTGGTGCAATTCCCTGGCCACGACACTAGAGTCAGGGACAAGACGATGAGTGAGATGCTTCTTAGACCAAGCCAAGTGCTAGAGGGGATTCCCCCCAGCACCTGACCAGGAGCTTCCCCACCAACGACAAGGTCTTGCATCTCCTAGGGGAAGTGTGTTTTTTGTAACGGAACACCCTATATATTAATTGATTTTCGGATTCTAGGAAAAAAATAAAGGTGAGTTTTATAAGAGAAGTATATGACTAAAATGTAAGGTTTTGAACATATTTAACATTTTCTAGAAATAAAGAACAATTTTTAAATTACAATAAAAGTTACCTAAATTGGAATTTACCCGGTATAACCTAATATGTAGTTAAATTAACTATTGTACTTTAAATCACATTAAAATTCGATCCAAAAAGTTATACAGGGTGAGACAAAATTAATATTTGAACATTGGTCACCTTCAAAAGTATTTTACTCTTTTTTTTTAATGGAACACCCAGTATATTATTCCCATATTCAATGGAGAATTCATGTCTCTTCAAAATACTATTAAGGTTGCCTACCCTCAAACAAAGACTTTCCTAGATATTTTCATTTACATGATTTGATCTGAGTAGATCTTTATTATTTGATAAAATCTAGGTGGCTGTGATATGTCTGACGTTATTTCAACATAGCTGTCTAATTAGTCCAACAACAACTAGTTATCATTTTGTGTCAGTTAAAACAAAAAAAATTCTCAGAAATTTGCCGAAAATTCAAACTTATCCTACATCAGAGAGAATTGATACGATTCTATTAGTTGGTGAATGCAGTGTGCATTCACCAATTAATAAAATACTTAAATGCTCCTAATTTTATTTAGTCTGGTTTTTTTATGGGGATATGTTAAAGACAGTGTTTACAAAACTCGACCAACTATTGTCGACAACATGAGAGAAATTATTGTAGCTGCTTTTCGAGGTAGAACTCCACATATGCTTTTTAAAATGAAAAGATCCTTTTAAGATGAAAAGAGATCATTTTATGCAGTTAACAGGAAAGGAAACATTTTGAGCATTTGATTTCATCTCGCTAATTTTTGTCACATAATTATAGGTTTATATCTAGTTTTAATTCTGTAATAATTAAAATATGTTTTAAACGTGTATCTTTTTATTACCGTTAAGTATTTTACTCTACAATCTGCAATTTTTGTTAAATTAACAAAAGGTATATCACAGCCACCCTAGATTTTTTCAAATAATAAAGATCTACTGACGCAAAATCATAAAAATTAAAATATTTAGGAAAATTTTTGTCTGAGAGGTAGGCAACCTTAATAATATTTTGAAGATATATAAATTCCCCATTACTAATATTTTAGTAATTAACTGATTTATTTGTTTTATAGCTTATTTTACTTATTACATATTGGCAAAAACTAGTCCATTATGAAGATTATTCTAAGCGTTATTATGGGTTATTTATTTATTTATTAATGTACATCTTACAACGCCATAAGTGGTAATAACAAGTAAGAGGGTGCTATTAATGCACAAACTGATAATCACAGAATTTAATAAAAACTAACGTAGAAATAACTTTGAAAGTGGTGTAATGTGCTTATCAATCAAACTTACTTCTCTGACTTCAGTCAAGGTTAATAAAGAACCTTGTCACGTTCTCGTTCAAAATAGTTTATCAGGGAAGCTACAAGCTCTTTACTTCGACTGTTTAAATGCTTCGGCATATTTTCAACACACAATTTCAAGAAATGCAATACAAAAACTCGAAAATTTAATTCTTAAAATAACTGTTGCTAAAAAGTACAATTTTTAAAAAAAATACTATGAAAATATGCAAAATACGAGAATTACTCACAAAGATTCAGCAACAACACGATATTATACAAAATAATGACTGACATTAGGATAATTGTCAAATAATAAAAACGACAACCTTGCTGAAAAGGGCGCAATGTGACCAATATAGCGATAATAAAATTCTGTTTAAACTAATTTTTGGAGCTTTAATCTAAATAAAATATCTGTTACAATCATTTGCTCTATAAAGAAAAATGAAGAGCTGCTCGGTATCTTAAATTATACAACAAATTTAAACATTTTTGCCAAAATTTCATTTACTCAGGTGTATAGACTTTAGTGTCAATGTCGATATGATTGATGACGTGCATCGGAAAATGTTTTTCTTATTACTATAGTTGGAAAACTCTAAGAATTTACAGTATAGATAGAAAAATAAAGATATTTCTGTCATATTTATTTGCATCATTCATTAAATAACAATTTCGGGACTGTTTATTTTGATTTAACTGTTATTACTTTGTTTCCGTTCTGGGAACTTGTCCAACTTTGTCATTTCCGATTTCCACCGACTTTTCCAACCACAAAAGAAAATTAACGGGAACGAAATTATCAAGGGAAAACCGCTTGATAAACTGGGAAGATTTAATAAGAGCCAGAGACGAGAAGTTTGACCGAAAAAATACTCCAGTTTAAGTCGTAGAAGGAAGCGAATAGATTACATTTTGTTTGCTCTGTCTCAAGTGCGCAGTTTCTTTGGACGTTAGGTTTGTTTTAAACGTCTATTAGATGGGGACCAAACAGTTTATTTGAATTTTTTCTTATTAAATTACTCTTAAGAGTCCATTTCACTAGTCCGAAAAAGTAGCAAAATAAGCGTTCGGCATTTAACGTTTTATGTAAATACTGACTAGGTGTTTTTACACAAATGAAGAAGGAAATTAAAGATAAAGGATTATACTATATCCGTATTGTAGCACCTATTTAGACAACTTCATTATTTTTAAAATTTTGATGGTCAACAAAATATTCCTTATGTTTGGAATAAATTTTCTCGAAAATAAAGACATAATTTAAAATCCCGTTAAAATACGGAAATAGATTGAAGTTTTGTGATTACAGTGATATATAATTTATGGAGTTTTGTAACAAATTGTGGTGGTCGAAGGCTGGTAACGGATCTCAAGGAGATACTCCAATGTCGAGTAGGAGTATTTCATCAAAAACTGAGAAATGTTCACTGTTTCATAAGCTCTGCCAGCAAGTCCTATTTCCTACGTCCTCGAAGGCTCATGAGAGCCGCGTGACCACTGGTAATGTATGGCATCCAATGCATGGGTGTTATGCAGCTAACAGGAATAGGGCGAAGGCGAGATTCCGGCGCCTCAAAACCGGTTCTCTCGGCTAAGGATGGGCATCCCTACAGAAAGGCCCCTGGTCCTCCAGGTTGGGGGTTGAGGCAACGGGCTAGCGACCTGTTACTCGGAAAAAAACTTAATTGCTCAAAGAACCCTAAACACGCCTCGGAATTCGGACAGATATTCTTTACGACGACAACTGGCTACGAAACGGACTATGCGAATAGGAACTTGGAATGTCAACAGCTTTGTCAACAAGACCTCGGAAGTTACATCAGAGATGGCTAGGTTCAACCTAGATATAGTTGTTCTTTCTGAAACGAAGAAGAAAGGGAGAGGAAGTGAACATCTCGACAACTTCCTTCACTTCTGGTCTGGGATAGATAAGGCAAAACGAGCTCAAGCTGGAGTATCGGTACTGATTGCGAAAAAATTATCTAAATTTTACAAGAATTACAACGCTGTTAACGAAAGAATAGTAACTGTCACCTTGACCATTTTCGGATTGGAAACCGTAATAATAGGTACTTATGCGCCCACAGATGAATCAAACCAAGCGGAAAAAGACTCTTATTATGCTGCACTCTCAAAAGTCCTCACAGAAATAAAACCGAGCCAGGAAGTCTTAATCATGGGAGACCTTAACGCAAGAATTGGTAAGAAAGAAGATAGCAAAGTGGTTGGAAAACACGGGGAGGACGTCCTTAATGATTCTGGAGAGAGGTTAATTGACTTTTGCGAACTGAATGGTCTACGTGTACTTAACGGCTTCTTCCCACACAAATTGATTCATCGATACACCCGAGAGAGGCCCTCTCTGCAACAAAAATCTATAATTGATTATACGATTGCTAAACAAATATCGAAACTCAAATTCAAAGACTGCAGAGTTAAGAGAGGAGCAAATTGTGGATCCGACCACCGTCTGGTCGTTGCAGAATTAGTAGTACCTTTCCAGAGCAGAGCCAAAAGTATAGAATACACAACATCACAAGAACTGGAAATTGAAGAATCTGAGCGTATTAAGTACAAGCTTCATTTACTACACGATGCCAGTATTAAATGGTTATACCAGAGAAGATTAGATGTAGCCCTAGAGGAAGTGAAAGCCCGTAACGATGTAGAACTAGAGTATACCAACCTAAAAACCCTAATTAAAAAAGTAGCTTTCGAAGTTTTAGGTGAACTGAACATGCAGAAAAAAAAGATGAACCAGCTTGGATAACTGACAGCATAAAGGCCTTAATCAATGACAAACAAAAATTCTATCAAAGATGGCTCTCAGACCGAACAGATACTAACTGGAGTCATTACAAGCAAAAAATAGAGAGGTACGAGCCGCCATTAAGGTAGGAAAAACAGATATTTGGGAAAGAAGGTGCCAGCAAGTGGAAAGCCTAATAGGGGCGCACGGAGTACTGAGGTATGGAGAACAATCCGACAAATGAAAACCAATCAAACGGACAAGCTCTTGAATAGAATGGATATAGAAAAATGGCGCAACTACTATGCAGAATTACTGACAGAAAACCGACCAGAATTCCAAGCAGTAGAAGATGAGAACAACCTTGCAGGCACTTTAATGATAAGCGAAAGAGAAGTACATCAAAGTCTCAAAAGAATGAAAACGGACGGTCACCAGGTACTGGTAATATTGTAGCGGAATTGTTAAAGTGTGGAACCCAAAGACTGCGCTGGCGTCTGGCAGAGCTATTTAACCAGTGCTGCCTGCAAAGTAAACTACCCCGAGAATGGCGAGTGGCTCACATAGTGTCCATCTTTAAAAAGGGAAATCGTAACGACCCCACTTATTATAGAGGCCTAAGCATTAACAGTTCGGTCAGCAGACTTTTTGGAAAGGTGCTACAGGGTAGGCTCAGGGACAGTATTGGTGACAAAATCTCGGAAGACCAAAGCGGATTCACACCGGGGAAATCTTGCACAGATAACCTTTTTGTCCTACAGCAGGTGATGGAAAAAAGATAGCAGTAGATCAAGAAGTCCATCTAGCATTTATTGATTTGGAGAAAGCGTACGACTCTATTCCCCGCAGCAAGATATGGGAAGTCTTGAATATCTTAGAAGTAGATAGACCTTTGCTTAAGATAATAAAAGAGCTATATAAAGAAAATGAATCGTACGTTAAGATAGGACACAGGCTATCTAATCCAATTAACACCACAAAAGGGTTGCGACAAGAATGCAGCTTATCTCCTCTGATCTTCAACGCTTACGTCGAAGTAGCCCTTACGGAATGGAAGACGAAATGTCAAGGTATGGGAATACCCATTGGGGACAACACACTATTTACCCTGAGCTTTGCAGACGATCAGGTCGTGATTGCGCAGGACTCATACGATCTAGAGTTCATGACTAAGAGGCTTTATCAAGAATACAACAAATGGGGACTTCAGGTTAGTCTAAAGAAGACCGAATACTTAGCTGTCAATTCCAACGCTCGTTTTGAAGTCTTCATTAATGATAACGTCCAGATTCAACAAGTAGACAAATTTAAATACCTGGGTGCTACTATCAACAACGAGGGTTTGGGCAAAGAAGAAATACAAACCCGAATTCAGAAGAGCAAACAAGTTACTGGATGTCTTAACAGCCTCTGGTGGGACCGAAACTTATCTGCAACAACTAAAAAGAGACTTGGAAGAACATTGATGGAGTCAGTTCTTTGCTATGGTTCAGAGCTATGGACTCTGAGTGCAGACGCGAAGCGCAAAATCCAAGTTGTTGAAATGTCCGTATGTTGTCCGTATTCTTCTTGCCAGGTATCCTGTCCATTGCCACTTGAGGGATTTGATTCTGTGGATGACACCTATTACCTGGGTCTTTTGTCGTATCCACTCTATCATTTTACTTATTCATAAGTTCTCGCACATCTTTTAACTTAATTGGAACACCCTGTATTATTTGTCCTTGCCTTATTTTTACATATAAATATAAAAATTTCTTAAAAACAAGCTAATTTACTTTATGTCTACGTCAACTAAAAACTCAGTTTCGGGAAATCGCACTTCCTTATAGTATCGATATTTTATCTTCATGTTGTCTGAATCGGTCTCTTACTGACATATTTATTTCTCCTGAAGAAAAAGAAAGGCACCAAGATCCGCAATGATCACCGCACATTAGTTAAATAAAGGTCTAAGGTCCTGATTTATCCCTTATGGAAGCTACCCCCATTATTTGTTTAAGTTCGTAGTTAATCAAGGGTCGACGGCCATAGACTGAAGTTAGCAACTAAAAAATAAAAAGGGCATAACTCTTAGTTGGACAGTTATTACGTTATTTGTTTGTTAAGTGTCTACCAAAATAGCGTCATGGTTCTAATTTTTTTTGTGTCGTTTGTAGAAAAATACCTCTAAATATTAGTGATGGGAAAAACCGATTAATTTCAATAATCGATTGAAATATCGCAATCGTATTTAAAAATATGGTTTTTTGTCCATCGCATGTTGTAAGTACTCGTTAACGCCAAGCGCCAAGCAGTAAGCTGCGTGCGCAGGACACATATTCTTTCGGTAATGAACGGCAAGTAGTAAGCGGCGAGCGATTCGCTTGATCGCCTGACGCCTGATTTAGTTTTAGTTTATTTCGAAGCATTGTCGATGTAGGTCGTAAAATTTTGTCTCTCAGATACGCAACGGATAAATATACCGAGTGCACCTCAAAAGTGGATCACCCTTATAACTTTTTTATTTTTTTTTCAGATAAAACAACGAGATTTGGTATGTTAGTATATGGCATAAATTAGGATTGATTGACATATTCAATTGTTTCGGTCACTTCCGGTTTCATCGGAAATGACTGCAACTTTTGATTTTTAAATCGCACCCTCGGTATTGTTTTACTTTATTCGGTAGAAAATGACACTCTGAGTAGAATGACATATCACATGTCAACTTTTGACATTTTCGCATATGGTTTATTTGAAATTGTAACATGCGGTTCATAACGACAATTTCACTCGAAGTGTGTGGTATCAAATTATTCGTAAAAAAATTCTTTTTCGAAATATGCTAATTATCCGCCCTCGTTCCATTTGAAAAAAATTGAGATATGATCAAAAATACGATTTGGGCATCTTTTAACCGGCCAGGGCAAGACACTAAAAACATTAGACAATCAAATCTATTTTTCCAAGGCTCCTTCATTAAAAATTAGTGTTTTTAACACAGATTGACACTAGATTGAAATTTAAAATACAATTTGTTTTTAAGCGAATATGTCAAAAGTTGACATATAATACGTCATTCTATTTAGAATGTCATTTTCTATCGAATCAAGTAAAAAAAATACCGAGGGTGCCATTTAAAAATCAAAAATTGTAGTCATTTCCGGTGAAACAGGAAGTGACAGAAAACAATTGAATACGTCAATCAATCCTAATTTATGTCATATACTAATAGACCAAATCTCATTTTTTTATCTAAAAAAATAAAAAAGTAATAGCGGTGGGCCACTTTTGAGACGCACCCGGTATATACGGCGTCGTATAAATTTGCTACCTGCAATGTTTGTAGAAAATTCGCTCGGCTTTTTATGGAGTAGGTCACATTAATATCGGATTTCAATTTATTTCTTTCTAGGATCGCTTGCGTTCGTCGCTTGGTACTCGTCAGTTGCATCGCTCGTTCATAATCGAGCGATGTCGGTTATTTCAATAATCGAGTACTCGAGCGAAAATTCGCTCGAGTTATCCCATCACTACTAAATATTACACTTTCTAGGAAAAAAATGCTGAAATTAGGTATTCTAAAGCCGGATTTACACTGCAAGACTTTTGATGTAAAGTACGTCTACTGTATCTGTGTCTATGAACAGAATACGGACAAAAAACATTTAAATAAACAGCAATATATTTTATAAATCGCTACCTATATACAGGGTGTTTCAAAAAACATGTGCCATCTCTCGGATGGAGTTTAATGCCAATTAAAAGTTATCTATTAATCACAATTATTAATGAAATTTTAAATAAAAATAAAATTAATAAATTATATAGTTCACCTAATTTATTATTACTATTAGTCCAATCTACAGCAATTTGAAATGAAAAGTAGAGGTATTTAAGATAATTACAAAAAACCTAATTTTAAAAAATTTTAACATCCTGTAACTCTAAAACTATAAAAATAAAAACACTAAATCACCACAATACACCAAAACACTTTTACTTTTACACTGGACGCGCGTTTTTTTGCAGATGATTATAAACTGGGTTTATAATCAATTAAATTGAGTTTATAATCATCTGCTGATGATGCTAACATGGTTAGCGAAACGCGCGTCCAGTGTAAAAGTAAAAGTGTTTTGGTGTAATGTGGTGATTTAGTGTTTTTATTTTGCTGTGTAACACCAAAGGTTCCAACCCTCAACTGTAATCTAAAACTATGCATTTCCATACCCATGTTTATAGGAACTTTTTTTCATATTTCTTGATGAGAAATCAATGAGTACTAATTTCGCACTTTCGCCAGTTAATGATATTAAAATTTGTTAAGGTTGCTATTAGACATATGGATTAAGACAAATTATTAAAATTGCATTTATCTCATCAAGGAGGCCAAAATCGATAAAATATCAAGAGATAACTTTTAATCGGCATTAAACTACTTACACTATTTCGCTAACAAGAGAAAAGAAATCAATACCCTTATTGGCGAACCCTTATTCTTCCCATTTTTGTGACCACTTTTTCAAATAAAGTCCCATAATAGATATTTCTCTTCATCTCTACACTCCATAGCCTTGCTGAACGTTGCTCTAGTTATTATCCTTATCTTTTTGTTTCAGCGATATTCTATTTCTCATAATCACATGGTATATGATACACACGTTCTATTTTGAATGACTAAACGTTTTTTGTTTAAGCCAAAAAGTTTTAATTATTTTTTTAAGCCACTTTTAGCCCATAATCTTACCTTTTTTAATTATAATAATACGCATAAATCCAAAAAATCCTATATTTCCTATAATCCTATATAAAATCGATATTTCGCCACTGCACTGCAAGAAAATCTACAAAATAAAATAGTTATTTTTTGTAAACACTTCTGCGTTAAACCCAAACGGAAACTACTTGTCAGAAGTTACGTTTACAGTTATACAAATTTGCCTAACAAAGAAAAAAATGCTTAACGTTTCGGAAAGTTTATCTCTTTCCGTCGTCGGAAGCAAAAAAAAAAGAATAAAGAAAAAAACTATTCGAGAACACTTAAATTTTTTTAAAACAGATACGTCTACAAGAAACCATTAAAGTTCTGTTAAAATGACATTATATCATGTTAAACTTCAAAATTAACAATTACTACCTGATAACAATTACTTAATAAGGCAAAACCAAAAAGCCCCAAACTTTCTGTATGATTATTTTTAAATTTTACGTATGTTATGTTTATTTATGTTATGTTCTTTAAAATCAAAGAAGCGATTGCCATACATTACTAACATCTACAGATGCACGAGCAATACCTTTATTTTTATTAGATTGTATTAAAAAAGCTTCTTTTATTTTTCTTTTAGAGGCTATCTTTCATTATAATTTTGGCCTTATTGAAATTTATTCTGTGCCCTGTGTCCCATAAATGCTGACAAATCTTAGATTTGTGAAAATCTCCTTTTCTTAAATAATCTTTATGTTCTTTAATTCTAACATTTAAGGGTCTAGATTAGCGATGGGAACTATCGAATGAATTAGACTATCAAATGGTTAATGAATGAATGATTTCAACTATCGAATGGTTTTATTCGAATAAAATCATTCATTCATTTGTATACTAAAGCATATGTGACAACCTCGCCGTGCGACTAAATGGTTATCGTTGAGCCACGACTATCGAATGCTTTTGATAAATGAAATTTAGTATTCGTTTGATTTTTGTATGCGTCAGTGCATTATTAGTTCTTCCAAATTTTTATAACTTCGCCGTATAAATACTGTGTTATTTTTGCGTTTATTAAAATAGTTAAAATACTAAAATAGTAGTTATTTTTTAATTTTATTTATTGACGATTGGGTGCATGTGCAGGTGGTCAAAATTTTTCCGAAAATTTGTGTGGTTTTCCGTAGTCTGATCTTTCGATTATTTAATTTTATATGGTATATGGTTTGGTTTGGTGAACTTACAATTAATTTTAAAAATACATATTTGTATTTTAGATGTTTTAATAATATGAATTAGTTGGAACTTAATAATCATATTTAAGTAATGTGGTTAAGTAAATGGTTATCGAACTCAAACTATGGGGTGAGAAAATTAAAATGAAAGTTTTACACGTGCCAATTTTAAAAAAAAGTTAACGATGTTTGTATTTTGTTTATGCTAATTCTCTTACATGTAGTTTTTTGCAAAGATATATTTCATTTATTTTTTAAAGTAAATGCCAGTAAAAGTAAATATAATTTTTAAATAGTAATATAAAGCACCTATTATAAATAATTTTGATTTCTAATTTTTTATTTATATTTTCCTTCCATTACACTGCATGCTTAGAAAATTAATAAATGTTTATATTTCATGATTTTAAAATTTGTTGTTAATATAACAAATTAGTTCTGTAATTATTATTATTTAATAAACCAACGTTGCCACACACAAAAATTTAGGGACTATATTATTTTTTAAATAGGATCTAATATAAATAATTTTGACATCTATTTTGTTGTTTATATTTTGCTACTACTTAAAAAAAAATATTTATATTAAATGATTTTAAATTTTGTTGTTAATAGGTATAACAAATTATTACTGTTATTATTATTTATTAAACCAGTTTTTTGCTTAAAAACATTAAAAATAATTTTCCTACATCCAAAATAACAAGTATTATTGCAGTGTAACACAACAATCCACCCGGCCTCCTCTTACTTAATACCAAAATATGGCAACAGCGCCCTTCATAATGTATTTTCTGTGTAAATACTAGCACCTCAATAAAAAAAATAATGTGTCCTTATCTATATCTGACTCCGCAAAAAATCAAAGATGCCGGCTTCTTTCATAGCATTAACACCGACCGCTGTCGAGCTTCTCGGAAAGAAACCTACGTCGCCGGGCGACAACTAAAATTCAGTTAATATTTTGTTATAATCGATCCTGACGAATAAATGAATTTCATAAATGAATGAATTTTATAAATGAATGGTTTTTGCTGCCGAATTACTAGAATACAATATTTCAAGGCAGATGACGGATCTATTCGATAATTTTTATTCGAATAGTTTTCAACGAATGTTTTCTTACTAACTATCGAATTATTCGAATGAATTGCAACTATCGAATGTTTCGATAGTATTCATTCGATACTTCCCACTACTAGTCTAGATGTTTCACCAATGTAAAACTTATCGCAAAAAATTTTTATGTAAAGTTTTTTAAATTTTTTTATATTTTTTTTTATAGGCATAAAGTGTTTCATATTTTTTATATATTCTCACAAACTACTGGATAGCTGTAAACTCTTAGAAAATTTTCGCATTACTGTCTAAAACATAATCCATTTTTTACAATTGCAAAAAAGAAATAACTATGGTCTTTTATTCTTTATTTTTTTACAATCTTCGTTGTAAAAATAATGGGTATAGTTTACGATACAGAAGCTGTTTTATACATTTTATGGAAATATTATATAGCCCCATAATATCTTAATCCATTATTATCGTTTAGAGCTTGACTTTATGCGACCTTACATCGACCAGTTCTTAACCCGATAAGAATAAAAATATTCGTCTCCGTAATAAAATTAAATCATTTTAACGTTAAATTTTGAATAAGAAAATTAAAATAAATTTTATCAACCAATATCTTTCTAGTGGAAAGAAAAAACATTCTAATAAACAACACAATATATACCGTATGATCGAGAAAAAACGGCGTCAGCGACGGCTATGAAATGAAGATCGCTGTCATTTTATAAGTAAATTTATATGGGAAATGTCATCGATCGTCATTTCCCAGCCAACTGGACGCCATTTTTTTTTCGATCATACGGTATATTTGGGATAACTAATAACCCACCTCGGTATCTTTACTACCAGAAATCAACAGAAAAATAGTACTTAAAAATAAATAAATCTAAAGATCCAACACAACTCTAAAAATAACAGCAAAAGCAACTAGAATCAGACACAACTGAAAATATTAGAGACCATCGAAAGTTCTTTTCCGAAAGTTATGTAAGATTTATCCTGCCAGATCCGGAGCCACTCATAAAGAAATAAAATTTTATCGACTAGCAGACGAGGATTGAAGCCAAAGAGAAGTGAGGTTGGAGTTTTTGGTAATTGCAAAACGCCCAGCAAAGATAACGGATCCCTGGCAGTAAACTTCGCCGATTTGCGATAATATCTGTGGGTTTAGTTGGCGATTAGGCCTGTGGAATAGACATTATCCCAGGCTTATCCGGTTGGGATTGGATTAATTTTATTTTTTCAGCTTTGCTATTGTTTGTGTATTACTTTGGGTCACTATACAATAGAGAGTAGAGAAAATATGAAGATATTTCTCCAAAAAAGTTCTATGGGTATTTCGCCACTGTAAGAAAATCTACAAAATAAAATAGTTATTTTTTGTAAACACTGCTGAGTTAATCCAACGGAGACTAAAGCCCCATACTCACACTTCGCTACTTCACTTCGTTCCTTCCTCGCGTCCCTTCGTCCAAAAACCATATATTTACTATGGGAAAATGTCGATTTTATGCGAGTGTGTGTTCCTTCCTCCTTCGTCAAAACGCTACTTCGTCCGTTTACTTCCTCGAAACGCTCCTTCCACGTACTGTCGGTTTTTGGAGGAAGTAGCAAAGGAATTATCACGAACACAAAAAATATTAAAATATATAAAATATATAAGTCGATCTTGAATTTCATTCGTTGTTGATTTCTTGATTTGGCAGTATGTCTGTACAGGGTGTCCCATTTTCGTGTGTTTTGCAGGGTTTCTCGTTTATGAGTCGAATACAAAGATGCGGTTTTCACATTACGCTGTTACTTTTTTATGAAACTAAAGATGCTACATACAGATATGTCCTAGCTTTCTTACTTCCGGAAAATACAGGGCGAATCTGAAATTATTGCATTTTTTGATCCCCTTTGTATCATAACTTATCGAAAAGGTGAAAACGGTCTCCCGTACAGTTTTTCACGTAGAATGCAGTGACGTAACTATTTCTTCGTTGGAATCTGTCTTTTTTTAAATTGACTAAAACTTATATGTTTTTTTAAATACGATATTTTGTATATTATTTTATTTTCCTTGTTACGAGCTTTCTAAAATACTTATTTTCATAAACGGGGTAAAAATGCATTATTTAACTTTATTACATAGTCGGCCGGTTTAAATTAGGTAATCAAAACAATCAACTAATTTATTCGACGTAAAATGTTGGTTATTGGCATGTTATTTGAAAGCAGCACAAGTTCAGTTTCCGTGTAGTTTATCAAAATATCACGATGCAAAGCAAAATTATCTGGTAAAATTAAGTTAAATAAAATAAGAGCCGTTTAGCAGTTTAGCAGTACCTAAATAAATAAATATAGAGTATATTATAATTTTCGAAAGCTCATAACAAGGCAAATAAAATAAAAAATAATATATAGAGTGTTTATAAGTTTGAGTCATCACATTGTTGACACATCAACACATTTATTACACTTTTAAAATTACATCAATTGTCAATTTATTTTATTCTCTAATCACATTATTTAAACAACAAAATTATCCAAATAATACAGATCATGTTACAACTTTATAAAGTTATTAAAAAATTCCCACTTGCAAACTTCTCTTGCATCTAAGTTTTCTCATAAACTTTTTCATGTGTTCCTATGTGACGTTTTAAAGTTGTAGTCTCACCAAATTGCTTGAAACAAATTGCACACTGATGCCTTTTTTCACCTGATAAAAGTACGAAGAAATTATAAAATTTGCATTAGAACTCATCAAAAAATTTTACAGAAGCTAACCCAAAAAAATTGAATACATATTCAAAAATAGTATATTGTTTTATTAGGATTAAAAATGACAATTTATGTGGCTAGGCTGTATGTTTGACTTTCAGCCGAGGCACAAAAAATCATTTTTACTCCGAATAGAACATGCTATTTTTTTCAAACGCCACAAATAAGTTTTTAAACAATTTCAAACGTTCCAAATAATATAAAAAGATTTAAAAGTTATACCTTGCATTTTTGAATAAAAAGATTAAGGAAGGAGCATATCAAAAATCTTAGATCCACCGCGATGGGACTCAAATATGGCCGACTTAAATTCCGGTTTGTCAGTGCCGTTCTAATTTTATTTAAAAAGTGTAAAACTATGATGCAGGGCAGACGTGGGGAAGACTCAATAATTTGTTGTTTTATTTTACGTAGTGAATAACGTAGTGAAACTATGAACCCTTCCCGGACACAACCGGTACATTGTGAGACAGGAAATTGTAGAGAGAAACAAGCCCTATAACATAGGATACAACATTTTAGTGAACAGTGATTTCCTTAAAATCAATAAAATGAAAAATATACGAAATAATATATATGTTCTGATTTCTTTCGAAAATCGACATCTATGAAACTATGAACCCTTCCTGGACACAAACGGTACATTGTGAAACAGGAAATTGTAGAGAGAAACAAGCCCTATAACATAGGATACAACATTTTAATGAACAGTGCTTTCCATAAAATCAATAAAATGAAAAATATACGAAATAATATACATGTTCTGATTTCTTTCGAAAATCGACATCTATGAAACTATGAACCCTTCCTGGACACAAACGGTACATTGTGAGACAGGAAATTGTAGAAAAAACAAGCCCTATAACATAGGATACAACATTTTAATGAACAGTGCTTTCCATAAAATCAATAAAATGAAAAATATACGAAATAATATACATGTTCTGATTTCTTTCGAAAATCGACATCTATGAAAATATGAACCCTTCCTGGACACAAACGGTACATTGTGAAACAGGAAATTGTAGAGAGAAACAAGCCCTATAACATAGGATACAACATTTTAATGAACAGTGCTTTCCATAAAATCAATAAAATGAAAAATATACGAAATAATATACATGTTCTGATTTCTTTCGAAAATCGACATCTATGAAACTATGAACCCTTCCTGGACACAAACGGTACATTGTGAAACAGGAAATTGTAGAGAGAAACAAGCCCTATAACATAGGATACAACATTTTAATGAACAGTGCTTTCCATAAAATCAATAAAATGAAAAATATACGAAATAATATACATGTTCTGATTTCTTTCGAAAATCGACATCTATGAAACTATGAACCCTTCCTGGACACAAACGGTACATTGTGAGACAGGAAATTGTAGAAAGAAACAAGCCCTATAACATAGGATACAACATTTTAATGAACAGTGCTTTCCATAAAATCAATAAAATGAAAAATATACGAAATAATATACATGTTCTGATTTCTTTCGAAAATCGACATCTATGAAAATATGAACCCTTCCTGGACACAAACGGTACATTGTGAGACAAGAAATTGTAGAGAGAAACAAGCCCTATAACATAGGATACAACATTTTAATGAACAGTGTTTTCCATAAAATCAATAAAATGAAAAATATACGAAATAATATACCTGTTCTGATTTCTTTCGAAAATCGACATCTATGAAAATATGAACCCTTCCTGGACACAAACGGTACATTGTGAAACAGGAAATTGTAGAGAGAAACAAGCCCTATAACATAGGATACAACATTTTAATGAACAGTGCTTTCCATAAAATCAATAAAATGAAAAATATACCAAATAATATACATAGTGTTTACATTGTCCTTATGGGCACTTTCCAATCTATACTTGTTTCATTTATCTATAATTGGTGTGTAGGCTTCTTACTTAGGGGGTTGCTAGAGTAAGACGACGTTTCGAATCTTCGTACTTTTATGCTTAGGCGTAAAAGTGCTTTACTTTTATGCCTAGACGTTAAAATTACTTTTTTATATTGTCAATCGCGCCGAAAAAATTAATACTTTTGTGACGTTTGAAAAAAATTGTTTTTGAGTGAAACTACAAATATACTATACAGGGTGAGTCTTAGAAGTGCAAATATTTTCAGGGCTGGTAGATCTCGATAAAAGAAACATATTTTCTCTTTACCATTTTTCAGATAAGTCCAAAATAACCGAGTTATTTATGTTTGTAAAAAAAAATTTAAAAAAAAAATATTTTTTTTGAAAAAAGTTTGAGAGCCACCGGATTTTTTCTGTATTTGCATCCCTTTTATTGCCGCAACCATAGAGTAAAGCAGTAACTATGGTAATATATGAGATTAAGAAATTATACCGTGGGAAAATTTGTGGTGAACAGGCAGTCCTAAAAAGTTTTCGAAAAATATACAGGGAAATTTAAAAGAAAATGCACGATTTTCAACATCTTTTTTTAAAGAAAAAAACTTCATAGAGGTGTTCCTGGGGTGGAAATATACCACCCCTCAAAATATTTGCACTTATTTAAGACGCACCCTGTATAGTTTAAAAAAATAGAACATTGTTTTATATACAGGGGAGCTTCAAACACTTAAATTTCGTTGTATATTTAGTTTTGTAACCTTACCTGTATGTGTTCTATAATGTACCCTCAACTGACTGCTTGTCTTGTACTGTTTCTCACAGTTCGGATATTTGCACACGTACGGCTTCTCATTTGTGTGACTCCTTAAATGCGTTTTCATATCAAACAGTCTTCTGAACTGTTTATCGCACAACGTGCAAGTGAATTTATTTTCTCCAGTGTGGACAAGGTGATGATTATTCAAGGCAGACTTGCTTGAAAATTTCTTAAAAAACATTTAAAATTGTAAGCTATATTCTTTATCATACAAAGGTAGTAAAAGTTTCCGACCTTGCCATGTATATTTCAGTTGTCACAAAAAATCCCAGATTACAGATCCTCCGTAATTGGCGGATTTAGCTCCCAGTAATTTTTTTTATTCCCCAAGCTAAAATTTGACTTTGCTTGAAAGACAAAGATTTTCTTTGTACAAGAATTTATTTGTAAACAACAAAAAACTATTTTGCTGCCAAAAACACTAACTACTGTGAATGGATTGTTGGGACCAATGACTAAAGAATATAAGGACATCTAACTCCCATATACGGGCTGCAGCAGAATTTGTGACCTTAGAGGCCATTCTTTTGATGGCAAACAATGAGTCATCATTTGGTCACCAGCGACAATTTTAGCGATTTTTAATAGTTTGTGTGTAGTAAACTTTGTATAAACTTTATTACAATGATGATTAGTTGTTCAGCTTTCAAGTGTAAAAGCAGCAGCGATAAGAAAGAGCCAGGAGTTACGTTTCATAGGTAAATAAACAGTCAACTCCAACTTTTAGCGTTTTCTTATTGAATTCCCGACAATTATTCTTCAATTTCAATTAACATCTATATGTACTTGATATGTGCTATACGTCGATACTAGTTTTGTACCTTTTGTTAACATTTTAATACGTTTTTTCGTAATTAATTAGTATGATACACCATAGGCGTAGTGAAAACAATTAACAAAAAATATAAATATTGCTTCAAACAGTTAGGTCAAGAAAAATATGTGCCACCGCACTGTTTGGTGACATCGGCACAATTTACTCTCGAGTGTTATTTGTCCTTGGATTATTTAGTCATTGGTTGGAATGTGAGGTTGGAAACTTTTCGAACAGCCCTCGTAATAGAGATGTGTAGTTCGTAAACGAACTAGTTCCAATGAACTATTCCGACCCCGGAATGAAAGGAACTAGTTTCTGGTTTCTCAAAGAACTAGTTCCTCAGGACCTATTCCGGGATCAGGACTGTGACCGATATAGAATATGCGAATGCGACGGATCGGCTAGCGCGCGTAGCCCATGGTAGGCAGGAGTGGGGAGTGCCCACCGTACGTTATCGGATCCGGACCTAGAGGAACTAAACTAAATAGACTAATTTACGTACGAACGGATTGGGCCAGCGCAGCGCGATCGATGCTAGGCAGGAGTGGGGAGTGCCAGCCGTATGCCGTATGTTATCGGATCCGGACCTAAAGGAACTAGAGGAACTAAATAAAAGACTAGTTTACGTATGGATCGGCCAGCGCGATTGATGCTAGGCAGGCGTGGGGAGTGCCAGCCGTATGTTATCGGATCCGGACATAGAGGAACTATTAAAAGACTAGTTCACGGGAATTTATTCAGTGGGCAGATCCGAGATATAATACAAGGCGACGACGATGAACTCGGCCTTGTCTATTGCCACAGCCGGCGCGGCTTAATTACCACAGAAAATTGTCGTGGATACTGTTTTTGATTTTTAGTTTGTTTTTTAGATATTTTATGGGAATGTTTCAATTTAGGTCCCTAAAATTAAGAAATATCTTATAAAACGAAGTAGATATTCTGAATTTTTAGACAAAAACAAAAAGCTTGAAGTGAGGTAAAATGCAATTTTTCGTAAAATTTTTGTAATATTTGTTCCAATTGATTTATGACATAGTTTTTTTTAAATTCTGATTTGAGTTTTTTTTATTTTTTTTTATCTGCAATAAAACTTACCTATATGTTTTTAACACACACAATTACAGGTCTCGTTATATCTCCGTACATTATAAAAATTATACAGATCATAATGTGAATAGTTCTGACTGACAACGAAACGCATTAGCAAGCAAGGGGGATGTCAATGTTAGTCGGGAACTATTGTGAACTAAAGACCTAGTTCAAGGAACTATTCCTCTGGAGGAACTAGAACTAAGGGACTAGTTCCTCCCAAGAAACTAGAATTCCCACATCTACCTCGTAAGCCTGGTTATTAACAACACCACAAGGTATGCAACTAACATTACGCTAAGTCCTAATGATTTTCGTGCCCAACTTCATCATTTAATTAATCCAGTTTTGACTTCGTTACACAGGACAGTTATTTAAAAAAAATAATCCAACACTATGCTATATGATCGAAAAAACGCCGTCAAGTTGGCTTGAAAATTAAAATTCACCATAAGTATGTCATTTTACATAAAAAAATTGTTTGCACTATGCGCGCATATTTGAAGTGAAACTGCTTACTAACAGTTATAAAATTGAAGGATTTGAACAGCATGTTTGAAAAAGTGTCGTTTGAAATGTTGAAAAACTAATAAATTAAAAATTAATAAATTTGATTCACTTTCACAAATTTTGTATTAAAATGACCATCTGAGGACTCCATTCGGTTATCTTTGTGCCGAGTTTGGTTCCAATCGACCCATAATTAAGAAAAATCCTGATGATTTCGTCCATTTAGAGGCATCGGTTCGAAACGTCGAAGGCGTCATGCTGTAGCCCGTCCCCAATGAGGAAGATGCATATATTTTATTTTTCGCCAGAAACTGATCAATTTATTAGAATAAATATGTGTAAATGCAAAAAAAAAACTTTTTTCTTGAAAGCAGTACCACAATTTTATAAAACGGGCCATTAAAATACTATGGACAACGCAAACGACGCCTCGCGAATTGAAACGATACCTATTCTATTGGTCTGACGTCACCCGCCGTTCTCGTCGACGCGCGATGGCCAGCAGCAGCCAGACGTGTTCCGTTTATGTACGTATTTAGGTGGCGTACTAAGACGTTGATTGAAGGAGCTTTTTATGCTTTTTTGTGCAGTTATTATTTGTATGTGTTGTGTGTTCTGAGAATTTTTTAAGTAATGGCAGATTCCGGGTTTGTAAAAGCACAATCAAATAACTTGCCAAAAGTCGATGCTTTTATGTTGGCTGCTTTTATAAATACAAATTCCCAATTTATTGGTGCTGAATTACGAGAAAAAAAACAGAGAGGTATGTAACATTTATTCTTTGTAGTACTGAGGCATATTTAAGTATAAGTAGGTACCTATACTGTTACGAACTTTTATATAGTTATAAATATTAATGTTATAAACTTATTTTTCAGATCAGGTAGGGAGACGTATGGAGATAATGCTGTAGGTTATGTAGAAGTGAAAAGAGACAAAAATATTTGTTTAGTACGTGGAAAAGTAACTCCAGAGCATAGCGTAAAAAAGAAGGTTTTTTATATATTGATACCCCCTTACCTTTGTTATTTTTAAAGATTGTTTTTTTTAAGAAATTATAGGAAACAAATTGTTTATCAGTAATGAAAATATTTTACAAGGTGTCCCATAAGCAAACGCCAAAATTAAGTTACTTTTTTAAGTGAAACACCCTATATATTTTTGGATTCTTCGGAAATTTCTAGATATTCTAGATATATTTCATGTATAATATCCTATACCTATCATCAAATGTTTACGAAATACTGACAGTTGAAAAGTGAAAAATACCTACAATTTTCTGGACCACCTTTTTTTGAGACACCCTGTATATCTAGAATTAATTTTAAAAGAGAGTATATGAAAAACCATGCAACTTTTTTATTTAATGTTTTCTTCTAAAACTTGCAGTTAAGGCTGTATGTGGATGACAAAATATAATGAATAACCCTGTACATTCAAATTTCATATATCTATGTAAGACAATATACATAAATATATGAACTTACATCAAAATGTTCTTTTTTCACAACAATAAATCGTAAAAATAGAGGATAATTTAACGTTTTTCTTTTCATCTCTTCTCACGGCCTTGGACCATTTTTTTTTCTGGTTTCGCTCATCCATTACTATTTTAAATATCACTAATTACTAATTATGTATTAATTAACCCAAATAACTAAAATTTTGACTCGGATTCAACAGCGTTTAAAAGCAAACTGTGTAAAATAAACACGCGTCTGGCTCCACTCAACCAGAAGAACGGCGGGTGACGTCACAGCGGCAAGGCGCGGTAGAGAGCGTTTGCCCGGCCATTTAAATTAACAATATTTTATTATTTTATATTAGAGGCATTCCTATTTTATATTAGAGACATCGGTTATGTCAACGATTTTTTTTTGTTCAATTTGTAATTATATGAACTATTTTTTAAAACCATTATTTAAAAACATGCATTTTCCTCATTATGCCGAAATCGACCCACATCTTTCTTCAATATCAAATCCTTAGTCCCACCTTGACGAAGATGTAAACGAAACGTCGTATCCAACCTTGCACGGTGGGACCATATGCACCGTCGCTCACACAGCCTACCCACCAAATTTGGTCGCGATCAGACATCAACTTTTGACGTTTCTTACGTCAAAACTAACTGTCACGGTGACACGTGTCGTACACGGTCAAGTCGGTCTTGGTCCAATCTATTGACATACCAAATTTCATTTAAATCAGACGATTTTTCTTAAACTGTAAGCTGTCCTTACCACTTTTCCTCTCGCGTGTCGTGTCACGTCCTTGAATTTTTACTCCGAGCGCGCGTAAAGAAGTTTCACTTCAATAATATAAAATTTGCGACATGGAGACAACAGAAATAAAAGTAAAGTAAAGATTTCAGTTAACGTCTCCTTTTTGCTGCCAGGGCTAATCTGGACGGGGCCTAATTTGTTTACGCGGAATCCGAACCGCGGTCCTCGGCCATATCATGGTCAATGGCCTACCGACTTGGCAAGTGTCTAAATCCACTCTTATTCACGATATATCCGATCTCATCCGGCCTCGAACCGGCGTGAATGAGCAGTGTGTGTCAATAGATTTTACACTTTGCCTGGACAACAGCACGATACAGAGTTTCGAACCGGTCACCCGTCCATCCACTAGTATCGCCTTACGTCGCTTAACTTCGGTGTTCTAATGGGAACCGGTGTTTCGACGTAGCTGGGCCGTTGCCCCCAACCATAGACAAACAAATAAAAAGAGACTGACAAATTAAATGGCAAAGAGGGGACAACGTTCCCGTAGCGCAACTCAGAACGCAAAATTTCATTCTATTTATGTTGATCTGCGCATTGCGTCTATTGGGCCCACTATCTCTTTCTAATATAACAAGAGAGAAAGAAGCAACCATATAAAACGTAATTTCTAAATATAAATTAGAACAATCGCCTTTCGTTTTCGTCATCATGACAACCAAGGTGACAACATCATGACAATTCGTCATGTTTGTTAATTTTTCTTTTGGTGATTTACATTTTTTCTAAACTCTCCATTTTATTGACTTATGAATATGGATAGGGAACAAATTCCTTTGTTCCATATAGGTATTTAATTTTGTTACTTATATATTTTCGGTTATACTATTTGTTATTTTATTTGCTGCAGGAGCCAGTATCATCTATTTCTTATATGTATTGGTACCCCCTTTCTCTGATAGATATGTTAAAGACACCCGGTAAAATAAAAGTAAGTAGTTATATTTATCATCTTATTAAGAAAAAAGTAGAAGTAGTAGTGTCAAAAATATTTCGAACCTCTCTTAACATAACAAATTAATACAATTAATTTTTTTCATTTTTTGGGTAGGTTTATAGCTGGTTTATAGTAACCAGAAACTTTATTAATATACCTATTTTACTTTTGGTTTAGGATTAAAACTGGACTTGAAAATGGTTCAGGATCATGATTCTTGTAAAGTCTTCTTTGCTTGGATATTCACTTTGTTATTGCAATTAGACAGTTTTTTCGAAAATTAGATTTTTAATGCCCTTTAAAAAATTGGCCGATCGTTTCCTGCAACAGTCAGTTCTTCTGCATTTAAAATTGGTAGGTGGGTGGAATAAACACTGTTATTTTTTATTATTATATTATAAAAAGTTTATTTATTTTTATGTATAAATAAATATGTTTATAAAACAGTACAATTTTTGTTTTTTTTTATAATTTCCCTTATAATAGTAGTACTCTTTCGTTTTGAAAGAAACTGCAAATTTTCACTTAAACTGATTTGTTCCCTACACCACGTTCCCTTTACGTGGTATAGGGAATAAATCAGTTTAAGTGAAAATTTTCAGTTTCAGAATGAAAGAATACTACTAATAAAGACTAATTTAAATTTTCCGCCAGCCAGAATGTGCGATAATGTCTTACGATACGTTTTATACCTATCTCTTTCTTTTTCATATAAAGCACACAAAATAAAAAAAAATAGCAATAAAGACGTACGTCCTGCCATGGTCCTGCTAATTGGTTTCAAAATTGTTATTCTGAGTTGCGCTACGGGAACGCGGTCCCATTCTTTACCATGAGATTTGTCAGTCTCTTTTTATTTGTTTGTCTATGCCCCCAACAGAATCAAGCAATTTATTATAATTGACAATGTCAGTTTCTAAAAAATGTAATTTCTTTAGGTTTCAACGTATTGTTGGTTGCATATCATGCAACATCGCACTAAAAAACTTACTTTATCACAATAAGAACAGTTATAAGGCTTCTCATTTGTGTGAATCCTATTATGAATTGTTAGTTGAGTTGAAGTGTTGAAAGCAGCACCGCAAGTTTCACACACGAATAATTTCTCACCAGTATGAATTCTTTCGTGAGTTTTTAATGAGAACAAATGCAAAAATTTCTTGTGGCAAACTAAACATTCATGATTCTTTTTTCCTAAAGAAGAAATAAACAAATTGTGTTGTCAACTGATCTCCTTATAGAGAGTAACCCAGTTCAGTTACTCCTAATTTTCAATAAAACATTTTTGAGATGTGAAAAAAAACTGGTGTAAAATTGTCAAAAAGGAAACCTTATACAGAGCTTTTTCTGAATACTGGATCACCCTGTATAGCCTTACCTATATGGATTTTTTCATGTTTCTTTAGATTTCTTTTGTCAGTAAACATTTTCTCACATAAACTACATGAAAATGGCTTTTCACCTGAGTGCTTTCTGAAATGAATCTAAAAACTATTAAACTAAATATTCACATTTTTGAATACTCAATAATTTATTACATCAAGTTCAAACTGTGAAGAATACTTTTTGTCACACGCCAAACAAGTAAATTTCTTAAATGAAACCCCATGAGATTTTATATGAGCTAAGTACTGTGATTTTGTTTTAAATTCCTCATGACAGCACTTAAATTTGCTTTGTTTAGATTTCTTCTTCTTTGCAACACTTATTTTTTGGTTTAATAGGTATTTTTCTTGTTCAAAATCTGATAAACAATCTTCTCTCGAATCATTGTGACAAAATTGATCAGACACATTATTGTGTTCTTTGGATACCATTAAACTGCTATTTTCAGTGTTAGAATTAAATAATTCAGTTCGTAATTTTTGTCTGCACGCATATTTTTCAAATATATCTTGTGAACCATGAATTTTAATTGATAGATTGTATGTGCTGTTTAACAGATTTATACACTCCGTACATATTAAATTTGGAATATTTTTCTCTTTATAAAACTAAAATCAGTACCAAAACATTCAGAAATATCGAATATAAGCATAATTATACGTATTATTTACCTTTAAATCTGGAAAACAATAATTTAGTTGTTTTTGAATGTAGTCATCGGAGATTGAATAGCTCTCTGTAGTATTATCTTCGTTGAATTGATAAAAACAAAAACGACAAATATTTTTGTGACTATCCAGTATATCAAATATGCTATTTTCGTCAATAGTTTCCATTCCTATTTCTAATACAATCTTAAAAAAATTGTTAAACAAATGTTTGTTTTCTGTTTGTTTTGTAAACAAAAATCTAACCTCAAACCAGATAGAAAACTGAAAAGCAGTGTTGCCACAGAGTTTTCAGATTGTACCTATTGTTCTTTTTTGAAAAATGTACTGAATTTTGAACAAAATTATCGAATTTAAAATATTGCTACTATAGACGCCTTACAATAATATACCTAATTTTAATATTATTACTATATACATGCTGCTGAGCTTATTGTTATTATATGTAAAAAAGTGTAATTTTATATATTACATTTGTTAAAAAAATTAAAACAAAATGAGTCAAAGAAAAACAAATCAAATAATAATTTTAGATGTGTTTAAATTAAACATGCAAAATACTAATTAATTGAAATTAAATATTAAACAAAATACACAAAATAAATACTTGTATTTTCAACATACAAATTAAAAGTAGCAGCAGAGCATACAAATTTAAAGCATATAAAAGGTGTGGCGCTTGTATAGTATACGAACACAAAAACTAATAAATTAACAATATTTATAAATATTTTTAATTAAAGAGCTGCTGATTTTGTTATTTTCTCTGCTTTTCGCATTTCGTAATGATTTTTTTAATTTTTCACAAAGTTACTGAACCATCATTTCGTACTGAATCTAGTACAATTGTATTGAAACGGCAACACTGCTCTAAAAAAATCTTGTTTTTTGCCATCCAGGAGGATAACGAAATATTTAAAGATATTTAAAATTTAAATAACTTTTTAGTAGTTTTTAAACCTATATACATTTTAAACATATTTATTTAAATTTTCACGTGGAAATTATTTACACATACTTGTTGCCAGCTTTTTGGTTATCTCTACTTGTTTTTCATGCTTTTCGTCACATAGGTTATCAGCATATTAACAAATTTGACCCCTCTTTTAAGTTATAAATCATTTACAATACAAATAGATTTGTTAATTTACAACCAGACCCCCAGTGAAGTTAAATCAATTCTATTTAAGTGCCTAAGGTCAGCGAAATTTAAAACAAAATCAATTTAAATCATGGCATCAACAGGTGGTAATATCGGTAAGTTTTGTTTCACCGTTAATTTAAAATTATTAAAGTAGTTTTTGTTTAATTGTAGCACTTTTGTCTGTGTCTGATAAAAGAGGCTTGGTGGAACTTGGTAGAAACTTAACACAATTAGGTTTTCAACTGGTTGCTAGTGGTGGTACGGCCAAATCATTAAGAGATGCCGGTCTGCAAGTTAAAGATGTCTCAGATATCTCTAAAGCTCCGGAAATACTGGGAGGGAGAGTTAAGACACTCCATCCTGCTGTTCATGGGGGAATTTTGTCAAGGTAAGAACTTAAAACTGTTAAATTTGTAAGTGTTTGCTTATTTGTGATATATATTTTTTAGGCTTATACCATCCGATTTGGAGGATTTGAAAAATCAAAACATTGAACTAATCAGAATTGTGATTTGTAATCTTTACCCATTTGTTCAGACAGTGTCTAAACCAAATGTTACTATTCCAGATGCAGTTGAGAACATTGATATTGGTAAATAAAATAAATTTTAATATATTCATAGGCATTTTAATATTTGATATATTCATCAAAGGTGGTGTTACATTGTTGAGAGCTGCAGCAAAAAATCATGATCGTGTAACAGTGGTGTGCGATCCGAATGATTATGAGAAAGTATTAAATGAAATTAAACGGTATTCCAATAAAGATACTTCATTAGAAACAAGGTAAAGTTAAATTTAAACACATTAATCAGTATTTTTGCATTTATTAATATTTTTTAGAAAAAGTTTAGCCCTGAAAGCATTTACTCACACATCCGAATATGACTTAGCTATAACAGATTATTTCAGAAAACAGTATTCAACTAATGAATCTCAACTAACTCTAAGGTAAATTAATAATGTGAAAAACGTTCAAAAAATACTTAAATTCTTGTATTTTTTATAGATATGGCATGAACCCTCATCAGAAACCGGCGCAACTGTTTACAACGTTGCCAAAATTACCGTTGACTGTTGTGAGTGGTTCTCCTGGTTTTATTAATTTGTGTGATGCATTGAATGGTTGGCAGTTGGTTAAAGAATTGAAAACAGCTTTAGGTAACACTATTTTACTTTTAATTAATTATATTATTGTATAATAAAAAAATATTTTTGAATAGTGTGGCATAGGAATGTCCGAAAGTATCAATATTTCAATATCGATATTTTTTGTTGTGGGGTTTTAAAAATATAAAATAATTTTTGAATAATGTGGCATAGGAATGTCCGAAAGTATGGATATTTTTTGTTATGGGGTTTTAATATATATTAAATAATTTTTGAATAGTATGCCATAAGAATGTCTAAAAGTGTCGATATTTTGGTATATCGATATTTTTTTTTGTTATGGGGTTTTCATAACAAATAGAAAATAATATTTGAATAGTATGGTATAAGAATGTCCAAAAGTATCGATATTTCGGAATACTATCGATACTTTTTGTGGAAATCGTTTTTTTTTGTGAATTATTTTTTCATATAATGGACATCTTGCACACTTGGTTTTACAGGGTTGCCGGCGGCTACAAGTTTTAAACATGTGTCTCCAGCGGGTGCTGCAGTGGGTACTCCATTATCCAGAGATGAGGTTAGTGTTTACACTCTTTAATTGTGTGTTAATTAATATGTATATAGTATTTCCAGTAAGAGAATGTATTATTTTTACAAGTGACATTTAGAAAATTACAGAAATTCCAATGTACTTTTGAATTAAAATGACAGAAGACACATGTCACTGACATGTATTGTTTTGCTGGATAGACTATATTTATATAACAAGAACGCAAATTGCAAAATCGTGCTTGAGGCTGACTAGATTTTGACAACTTGTTATGTAAAGTTGTTTCTTACATTAGTTTTTCTTGTTTTGACATTTGACGTCGTTAATATACACTATATATATATATATTTATATATATATATATATATATATATATTAGTTAGTTAATACTTAGTTAATAAATACTTTGGCAGATAAACTATGAACCATACAAATGCAGCAAATGTTTTACAATATGACTGAAATCGTACTCCATAGTCAATGTAGATAGTTTTTGTGTTAAGAATAATAATTTAAAAAAATATGTGGTCATCTTTTGACAAGTTTATATTAGTTTATTAACTAACTTAATATATATATATATATATATATATATATATATATATATATATATATATATATATATATATATATATATATATATATATATATATATATATATATATATATATATATATATATATATATATATATATATATATATATATATATATATATATATATTGTATTTATTAACTGTATATTATGTATAACTATATCATTTTTAAAATACAAACCAACAAATCGAGGAATAATTATGTTTTCCATGTATTCTACAACATAGTTATTAATCTGTAGTATCTAACTAGTGTGACGTCATAAATCTCGTTCCTAGGCTGTTCTATTAGAGACGGCATTGCGTCAGCATGGCCGCAAATTGCTAACCTAATAAAATTAACACTAGAAAAGCCCGCGGGAACTGTCAAATTCAAAGTTATTCGTTTTACAGACTATACACGTCATTTCATGTTATTTATTGATAACTTATTTGCAATAAATATTTATGCTCTGATTATATTTCTGTAACTAAAACATTTTAAAAAGGAACTTTTTTCACCAAAACAATTAAATATGTAAAGACTATTAGAAATTATCATTACAAAGTTATTGTTTATTGTTTATAAATAGCATATTTTCGTTCTAGTATGTAAATCGGTTTGTCGTTATAAACGATATGAGAAATTTCATTAGATGTGATTGTACCGTATGATGAAAAAAACAGCGTCATAGACGGCTGGGGAATGACCATCGATAATAATGTTGGCGAGGTCAAGCCCTAGATGTCATTTACTTGGCCCGTACTGTTCTTTATTTCTTAATGGATCTTACTGCCAGTTGGCCTATCGTACATTCTCCTTTTGGGTAGACTATACAGGTGTTGGGAATCGGCAGAAAAGTTCAGTGGAAGACGTACATATTATGTCTGGTTTGAATCTATAGAATCTATAATGAACTATAGGATTGAGATGACGAAGTTTCTGTACACCATAACAGCACTTATTAAAATCACTCTGTATATCTACATCCTAGTATCGAAGTTAAAAATAAATATTGTTGCAATATCAGACGCAAAAGTGTTACAACCTTTTATCACTGTTATTGTTTTGAAATCTTTGCTGGTGGTAGAATTTCTATACAAACATGACGCAATCGCATTTAATACTTTCGATAACCTAACGTAAATATTTATGCAATTCATTACATAGTTCTTAACAATTAATCAATAGAGCTAGGATAAGTAATAAGTATGCAATTATAAAAAAATATATTAAATTTATGCACTTGAAAAAAATCAAAGATGTTCAAAAATTATAAATTATTTGCTAAAATAATATATATTTTTAAAATTATTATAAAAAAATTTGGTTCTTTAATAATAGTTTTCTCATGCAATTATTAATATTAATACACATCCAAAATGAATTTAATTAAATAAATACCAATGGTGTTAGTACAGCTCAAATTTTTGAGCTTGTGGATTAGGCCATTTTTGCCCTGGTAGCCTCATATAGCCTATACTAAGGGCTGGCGAAGGTTAATCTTGGGTCGAGATTCTTTATAATGTACTGAACAAAGGGAGGACAGTAAACACGTTGCCAAACGTATGAAATAAACCGAGAAACTGTGCACATCGCTAAGAGACGTGGAAGGGGGTATAGCAGATTTGTCGCAGTTGACCGGCCGACCCAATCAATACCTCTGTCAGTACTTAAAGTTCTAGAGAAAGGTGTACGTCATGCGTTCAGCTTCACGATTTAATTACGTCTCGTGATACTTAATTTGTTTATTTATTAACGAGCCGCTGTAATTTTCCCTATAGCTTGATTTTTTTTAAGTGCAAGCTAGAAACACTTGCATTTTTGGTAAAAATAAGTGGAATTGAGTGGGTGTTCGATAGTGGTCGCGCTATTAGAACTCTGAATTCAAAAATCGATATCTCAAAATCTATTAGAAATAATAGATTGTAGTTTTTTCAAAAACTTTGTTAATATTTCTGCTGTATTTTCTTTGTAGACAGTATGTGAAAATCTTTATCAATAAAAAAATTACACGATTGCTGAAAATTGCTATGCTCTAAAAGTAAATCGATGGATTGTTTACAATTTTTGAATGGAAAAAACAACCTTATCGAATTTTTCTTATGTAAACATATTGTAAAATATCCAATCTTGAAAATAAAAAAAAGTTTCAATATCTAAAGTGGTTCTTGGTTTGGTTAGCCTGTTATGTGTTTAAAAAGTTTTCGCGTTATAAAAAAAATGACACCCTAACGATATCCTTATAATTCCATTTCAGATGCTCAGAAACATGTCTAATGATTTTATCTAGTTATCTCTTAAAAAAAAATCTTTTAAAAATAAACGGTTTGCGATCGTGATTTTACCTTACTTGATAGAGAAAGGCGTACCGGCAACGCCGCAACAGCACACCGTCGCATTTCTCTCACTCCGACTTAATAAGATCCCTATGCGATTTACTTCCGCACATGTAAATGCCGACCCAAAAGTAACAGTTGCCAGCACGGTATATTGCGCCTAAAGTGCCGCTTGATTGTCATGAGTTTTCCTGAGTAAACTCTTCTATTGTTTTCGTTTGCGATTAGTAATTTTAAATCATGCTTGTCCTGCATTTATTTGTATCTGGTATGTGTATATATAGCTAGTTATAAGACAACCTTTTTATGTTTGTCTTACTCATTAATATACAGACAGCGATTCAGAATGACCAGGCCGGTATACTCTCTAGGTTAATAACACTTTATGTTATTTCAGTCGAAGCTATGCATGGTAGACGACATACACGATCTGCTGACCCCTTTAGCTTCAGCCTATGCCAGAGCCAGAGGTTCGGACAGGATGTCATCCTTTGGTGATTTTATCGCTCTATCCGATACCTGCGACGAGATCACAGCTAGAATAATATCCAGAGAAGTCTCCGACGGTATTATTGCACCTGGATACACACCTGAAGCTTTAAATTTGCTGGCTAAGAAGAAAAATGGAGGATATTGTGTACTGCAGGTAAAAAAAGTAAAACATAAATGGTTCTTTATTAGCCCAATAGATAACCCAATTACTGAGTTAAAAAAGAAGAAAATTAGGCTGTATTCCGTTGCAAAACCAGGCGAACCGGACCGGTAAACTACGGTAAAGAGCGGTTCTTGAAAAACATAGGTTGGGTATTACTGGAAACGTCAAATGTTGACGTTTTCTAAATTTCAATACCTCTATTATAAAATTTATCTTTTATGCATTTTTAATTTATCTATTCTCTGCTTTTACGTTTGCTTCTTCTTTTCAATGGAGTTTAATGTTGAAAAGTATTTTATTAATAAACTGTTAAACTCGTTAGACAGCTCAAGTGAAGATTTGCAGGTCCAATTTTTAAACAGATCAATAAAAAATAAACAAATCTAATCAATATTTATATTTTTATAGCTTACAAAACATTCACGATTACTTGTTGTCTTGTTTGTCATGTTTTCTTTTAATGTTCCTGACTTTAAGAAACAATAGCTGCATGATAAGTTTAAATGATCTTAAAAAGTCATTCTATTTAGTTAGTGAAATTTATTTACCTTTACTGCCCACCTCCATTGCTTTTGGATGTAAATACAAAATATTATTGCAAATTTTAGAAATTAAATGATAATTTCACTAGAACTTCCAATATTTGCTTAATTTCTGTCACAAAAATGACATTGATTGACAAAACCAGAAAAACCAGCTTTCTCGCGCTGGTTAGTTTGGTGACAGTTATAACCGAATTTGTCAGGAACCATGTTCCGTAATAAAAAAAAACTTTCAGGAAACGATAGAAACGGAACATAAAACAATAACCAAGGCTGACCAAGGTAAGGAACGGAATACACCCTAAAAGAAAAGAGGTAGAAAAAAAAACAGTAAATAACTTCTAAACACTATTATTTTGCTAAGTATTCTCCGTAAGAGAAATACATTTTTGCATTCATTGGAACCAATTCTAAAAGCGCATTCTCACGACTTGTGTTCTTGGCAAACATTTGTTACTGGAATATACTCGCCATGTCGTGAGAACGGTTTCCTTGGTCACTCGTATAGCCCGAGTCCCGAGTCAAAGGATCATAATAATTATTCGTACACTTGCCAAGTGTACTTGGCCAGCCTTGTCTATACTTGCCGAGGCGCAAAAAAACGACTGCGCATATAATTGTACTGTTATAGAGTATGCCCCGTTCATTTCCGTATCGTAGTGTTTTTCGAGTTAATTGTGGATAATTTAGAACGTTAAAACAATAATAGATTATATAATATCGAATTTACATTAATAACTTCAATATTGGCGACATACCTAAATCGTTCTCACATCAATAAATGGAGTGGACAGATGAAGACTACACGGGAAAAACCAGATATGTCACATTTTCATAGAAATTAAGATAGCGATACAAATTTATAGACAAAGGTTAATACGCTTTATCCCCGAGATATTACAGCTTGGTTATTTTGCCGTACAAAGGAAAAACCATAGTAGTCCACGCGTAAATGGCAAAAACCAGAGATGTACTTACTTTTCTGTATGCAATTAGTATTATATGTTATAAATTTATATATTGTAATAAAAACCTACTTAAATATTAATATTCTTCCTACAACAAAAAATAATCGTTTAGATTTTATACAACCTTTAATTGGACATCCCTGGTTTTCCCCTGTTTTGTTTTGCATTTTGACATTTTTATTTCGGTATTTCAGAATATGGCGATAATTCACAATATTAATAATTCAGAATTGGTGGTAATAGGTATATATTTTTCTAATTATTCAACCGAAAATAACATTTTTCTTTAAAAACGCTTTTTTTTCTCGGCTCCAAATAATATGGACAAAACTGGGTTTTCCCGTGTAGTCTTCAAATAATGTTGTTTTGGAATTTATGGATTTATATGAAAATGAGCCCTTCATATGGATGGCCAAACATAAAGAACATAGAAATTGTATTGCAGTGTACAGTAAAAGAACTTAAAAAGAAAAAAGAATCACTAGCAACGACAATTTCGGGACGACCGGTATCAATTGATGCGACTATACTGTTACTTGCCAAGGGTTTAAACAATGGTTGTGCTGGCGTACTTGTTGAAATGGACACGTCGTGTGAGCGCCATACTTGCCGATGTTGTTTAAAAAGTGGGGACTGGTGGGGATACTTGCCAAGTACGCAAATATTGGCGTACTTGCCAAGTAGACGAGTCGTGAGAGTGCGCCTTAAAAGCAGTTATTCCACTCGCTTATTGGTACCTTCAAAATTGCGTTTTTGAAGGCGCTGAGTTCATCTTCAAGGGATCCAGTTCTTCTTAATTTTTGGAAAAGTAAAAAAGTCGTTAAAAGGTCGGGACTGTATGGAGGATGATACAATAATTCGATGTTTTCTTGCTTTAAAAACTCAATTGTTTTCTGTATGCAAAACATAAAAGACAACCCTCGTATCAGTCAATCATTGAATAAAAACCAATACAATTGAATTTTTAATCCAGATCGATCCAACTTACGAACCAGACCCAATAGAACGCCGTGTACTTTTCGGTTTGTCGTTAGAACAAAAAAGAAACGATGCCGTTATTGACAGTTCCCTGTTTAAAAACGTCGTGTCGGCCAAGAAACAGCTACCAGATGGCGCTGTGAGAGATCTGATCGTAGCCACGATAGCTCTGAAGTACACTCAGAGTAATTCAGTGTGTTACGCGAGAGATGGTCAGACTATTGGAATTGGAGCAGGACAACAGTCTAGAATTCATTGTACCAGGTAAAGTTTAGTAGTATATACAGGGTGGCGCCTCTCATACGCCGCGTAGGCTCCAAGGAGAACGACAGTTTGTATTGAAATGAAATTTTGTGAGCATATGTAGGTTAATTCAGAGCACTTTTCAAAAATATAGAGAGTTCTACAGGGTGTCTCCAAAAAAAGTTACATATCAAAGTTGTGTTTTTTGTTTTTTGTAATGGAACACTCTAATACATATATTAATTGATTTTCGGATTCTGGGAGAAAAATAAAGGTGAGTTTTATAAGAGAAGTATATGACTAAAATGTAAGGTTTTTGACATATTTAACATTTTTTATGGTTTATATCTAGTTTTAATTGTGTAATAATTAAAATATGTTTTAAACGTATATCTTTTTATTACCGTTGAGTATTTTACTCTACAAACTTTAATTTTTGTTAAATTAACAAAAGGTATATCACAGCCACCCCTATATTTTTTCAAATAATAAGATCTACTGACGCAAAATAATAAAAATTAAAATATCTAGGAAAGTCTTTGTCTGTCAATAATATTTAACCTCAATAATATTTTGAAGATATATAAATTCCCCATTGAACACTGGAATAATATACTGGGTGTTCCATTTAAAATAAAGGAGTAACTTGCTTTTAAAAGTGACTAATGTTCCATATTAATTTTGTCTCACCTTGTATAACTTTTCTGGTCATATTTCAATTTGGTTTAACATATAATGGTTACTATAATTAAATATCAGATTATGCAAGGTCAAAACTAAAATTTAGGTAGCTGTTATCGAAATTTAAAATTTACTCTTCATTTTCACAAAATGTGAGATATGTCAAAAGCCTTATGCCGCAACCACACATGCTGCATTTAGCGAACTCCGAGCGCTCGTGATCCGACTTCGCCTTTCCATCCACGTGGGCTCTGATAGCAACAACATAGAGACGAGCGCTCGTTCTCGTCGCCGATCAAGTCGCCGAACCGAACTCCGACTTCCCCATCCACACACATAGGAAATCGACGAAGCCCCGTTTGGAGATCGCCAAATACCGCATGTGCGGTTGCGGTATTAGATTTTAGGTATACGCTTCTTTAATAAAACGTACCTTTATTTTTTCCTAGAATCCGAAAATCAATTAAAATATAGGGTGTTCCGTTAGAAAAAACAAAACTTTGATGTGTAATTTTTTGGGGGGATACCCTGTATAATTCTATATATTTTTATAAAATGCTTTCAGTTAACCTACATACGTTGCCAAAATTTAGTTTCGATATAAACTACCGTTCTCCTTGAAGCTTCTGCGGGGTATGAGAGGCGCCACCCTGTATACGGGAATAAAAATTATGATTGGACCGTTTTTGACTGAATAGATTTTATTATTGTTTAATATGATAGATTGGCAGGCGACAAAGCCGACAACTGGTGGCTCAGAAGACATCCCAACGTGTTGAATATGAAGTTCAAAAAGGGCGTGAAAAGAGCGGAAATATCCAATGCTATCGATAATTATGTAAACGGAACTGTAGGTAAGGAACACAAACCAACTTTACTCACGAATATTTTAAAAAAAATACGTTTCAAATATGTTATATTTTGGTAACAATATCAGTAGCTAGAGTAACTTGATTTCCTATTTAGGAAAAGACATGGATCAACAATCGTTCAACTCTATGTTTGATGAGGTTCCAGCTCAGCTAACAGAACAAGACAAACGTGACTGGATCAGTCAATTATCTGGAGTAGCTTTAGCATCTGATGCATTCTTCCCATTCAGGGATAATATTGATAGAGCCCAACTGGTGAGTTGTAACTTCAAACGATCGAAAATTGAATATACTAAACATAAAACAATGTCGGTTGCTCGTCATAGCTTTTGACTATAATCTGTCCAACGGGTAGTATACTATAATCTGTCCAAACGGCTGTCGCTGTTTAACTAACCGAGTTTATAATTCCTCTCCATTGCGTTCTATTTTGCGCTGCTTCTTCCCACTCATTGTACCTTTTGAGTTGCCCACCCGGTTTCCTCTTACCGTCTACAAGCTCACCGTAAGTGTGCGAACACAGTGCAAGCAGGTTTCCCGCTTTCCGGTAGTCGGCGCCAATCTGGGTACCTATTCTTGACATCGTTCGCAACTTTGCGTATACGCATCACGTGTATTGTTATAAACCGGGTATCCCAGAAATAAGTGCAAGTATTTTAAAGGGTGGTAGATCTCGATAAAAGAAACATATTTTCTCTTTATTGTTTTTCAAATAAATCCAAAATAACGGAGTTATTTTACTTTGAAAATTTCCAAAAAAATGATTTTTTGCTAAAATCTTGAGAACCTTCTTCTTCATGTGCTTTCTCCTCATCGGAGCTTGGCGACCATCAATTGGAATTCCTCCCTGTCTTGAGCCAAACGGATAATTGCACTGGTCTCTCCTATATTAAACCACTGGCGCTGTTTAAGAACCACTGGATCTTTTCTGGATTTTCTTTCTTGTAAATTTAATCTACTACCTATGTTGCCATATTATTAAGAAATTATGTTTTTTAAATAAAAACTAAAAAAAAATCCAAAAAATTTTTCAAAAAATTCCGATTTTTAAAAAAAAATTATTTAGAAAAAACCTCATAGGCGTGTTTCTGGGGTTGAACTATACTACCAATTAAGTTAAAATACTTGCACGTATTTCTGGGACACCCTGTATATGGGTAGATAGTAGCGCCGCGCCGCCTCGCGCTTATAACCGTGAAAAATTAAAGCGTGTTATCAAATCGGCTAATTCACAGTGAAAGCAGGTAGGCACCGTCAACCAGCGTTCATCGGCGTTCTCGCTTTTACCGGAACGAAAATTTATTTATTTCTGTTTTTGCACGCGCCGACGGCGCACAGAGGGTATTAAGAACTGAAAGTTGGCCAAAATTATGTTTTATGATTTTTTTGCTTTTTTACTAGTAATATTAATTATTAGAGAAGAGGGTGCTAATATGGAACCCCATTTTGTTTTTCCTACACAATATTTTTTCCTCTACTCTGAAACTCTTTCCACCGATCAAATAGGGTCATTCTGTGCAAAACCAAGCAATTGGATGAGGATGCTAGAACAAGAAAGTAATTTGTATATTATAGACGATATTTGAGCGAGGATGGGTGTTATAGGGTAAGGACTAATTCCTTTTAGAATCTATTTAAATCAATGTTTTTTTGGCAGTGGCAAATATTGGCAAGATTTTTGTACATATTCCAAAGCTGGAGACTTTAAGCATTGAACGGATACTAATTTCCATGCGGAATATTGCCGAATAGTCTTACACCTTATAAAAATGCCTCTGATTTTTTAAATATTAAACATTATAAAGGAATAGAATAGAAGGAAACGTTTCAAAATAAAAATATGGCATAAAACAGGACTTGCCAGCTGGCTCTGTATCCGACAGTTATTATAAACAATTTGCAAAAAAGCACTACAAACAATTCCACTATTTTATACTTAGAAATATTCAGAATACACTCAAGATAATTCATACTTATAATTGAAATATATTATTTATTTGATAGTCAACTTACGACTTAAAAAAAGCTAATAAACGCGCTTACATTTAGTATTTATAGATTTGTATTCACTTAAGATAAAAAATGAAAATAAAAATATTTCACTTTTGGCCAGGTTTATAGACCAAATACCCCTATGTGCGGCGCCGGCGCGGTGGGCGCGGCGTTTAAATATGGTTAGGTTAGGTTAGGTTAGTTAATCAGGTAAATTTTCTCTTAATTAACTACTTCCGAACCCTGCTCGGATCTCCGAAAAAGCCATATAACAATACACGGCATATACGCAAAGTTACGCATCACGTGTATTGTTATATGGCTTTTTCGGAGATGCGAGATGTGAGCGATATTTGAAGATGCGAGCGGTCAAGAATAGGTCCCCAGAGACGGCGCTGGTTGCCGGAAAGCAGAAACCTGCCTCCACTATGTTCGTACCCTAAAACAGAGATTTTGGTGGGCGGTTTTCTTGTATTCTGCATATGTGACCAGCCCATCTTAAGCGGGATTTTGTAATCATGACTTCAACGCTTTCGCAGCTAGCTTTTCCAAGGACCGATACGTTTGAGACAACCTTTTGATTCTTAAGAGTTGTCTAAGGTCTCTCTGTTGCAAGTTGTTCAATGCGTTCATGTGTCGGCGGTACGGCAGCCAGGTTTCGCTTCCATATAACATGGTGGGATTATTATTGCTCGGTACACTGCAAGTTTCGTTTTTGTGCTCAAGTCATGATTGTAGAAAACCCTGTTTTTAATTTCCAGAATGCTCTCGAAGCGGTGCGAACCCTGTGCTGAATTTCAAAGTCGATATTGGCCTTTTCCGATATCAAACTGCCGAGGTAATTGAATTCCGCTACATATTCCAATAGTTCTTTTCCGATTTTTATAGCATTGTTGTGATCTTCCGGGGGAGTGCACATGATTTTAGTTGTATCAATGTTCAGCTTAGGGCCCAAAGCCTCGTATGCCCAGGTATATGAGTTCAACAGTTCTTGTAATTGCTGTAACGTTTTTGCAACTAGAGCGCGGTCATCAGCGTATTGAATTTCTGTAATGAATCTTGAACGTGCGTGAGTCTTTTTATGTTGAACAGACCGTTGTCGTATCTGTATCTCCTGCAGTTTGCTGTTTACTATATAATAGAGAGCGCTGCCATGAATAGGATAGACTATAGCGTTGGATGTCGGCAATGTTACCAGATGGTAACTTAAACTAATGCGATATAATTTCATTTCCAGAGCGGCGTATCCTACGTTGGAAGTCCGGTAGGTTCAATAAATGACAATGACGTAATTCAAGCCTGCAACGATCATAATATTGTGTTGGCATTCACTAACTTAAGATTATTCCATCACTAAGTGATTGGGTGATTAATATTTTTCTATTTTTTATTGTTAGAATCTTTATCAAAAATATATTTTGTTTTTATAGAAAAATGTCTTTTTTCCTTTGGTTCTTATTTCAAATACAGATTTACAAAACCTTTAAAGTGTATAAAATGACGTCAGGATAATAGAAATATGTTCTACTATGTCTATAATATGGTGAATTTTTTTAAAGTTTTAGATATGAGGTAGACTAAATAATTTATTGTTTTATTTTACGTTGTCAATAAATGTTGGTAGTTATTAAAATTGTTATAAAAATATACAATTCTAATAAAAATAGGTAAGTTGAAATAATTATTAGAATAAACATCTGATACGCTACTGAAGCAGGTAAGGCAAATTGACGTATCTAAATTCTTTGACAACTAGTAAATAAAAGCAAAAATACAAGAAAAAATATATAATCAGTTAATTTTAAGTGAATTTCATAAATGATCGGTTTACTACACGTCTGTAGTTAGTTTTAGCAGCAAAAAGGAGACGTTAGCTTAAAATACTTTAGTTTTACTTTTATAGGTACTACTATTGCAGAATACCTCAATAAAACACTCTCTAAGTACGACACCTTTTAATTCTATAAGTATTAAAATTACATATAAATTAAATATTAGTTATTTTTTCACTCTTTCTGTCTGTCGTTATTTTTTTAACTGTTTCAAATATTCCTTATTTAACGTCTTCATTCTTATTTTCTTTCGCAATCTTTCCTGAAAACTGACTTGTTGTCTCACCGAAAACGGGACATCCGGTATAGCATAGGCCACCAAACCCTTTATTACAATTACTACATGCTAAAAAAACAAAAAAATATACGAAATTTGAAATAAATACTGAGTAATTTACTGTTTGAAAAAAATGTTATCAAGTATTTGGAATTTTAACTCTATAATTCAAAGGCATTAACGAATTTGTATAAACTCATCATTATATACAGTGGTTGGGGAATGACAGCTGATAGATGAGTATTTGTAACACCTTGTATATAGTATTATTTTTACCTCAAAAAATATCACAATGGCAAATTTAACGCTCAGATGAAACCAAAAGCCTGGCCGATTTTCGTACTTGAAAGGGTGATTTGGAGGGTAGCGTTTTCCAGGGTAGTAGCAAATGCTTTGGTTTAGCTTGATTTTCGGGCCATCGATTATGTCAAATTCTTCTATGCTGAATGCTATGAACACAAAAAACTTCTTAAATTTAATATATCGGAATTTTTAATTAAATCACCCTGGATATTATTGCATTCTGAGGTTTCTTTCTGATCAGTTTACCCACAACATAAAATGCTACAAGCGATACCAATTAAACTTTTAGTTACGTAATTGAGTGCGCGATTTTTAAATTCATTGTTGCCAACCACGGACATATTCGGCGCCGGGACGACTAACTGAAATTTAGATTTCCCGCTGGGGATTCAGGTGGTAGCTCTGCTGTAAAAAATTTCAAGGTGCCACATTTATTTATTTCCTGACATTGTCATTCGTTTTGACACTTTAGTTTTGTTTTATTAGTTTTTGGTTTAAATGATTTGTGTTGTAATACTTTAAGCTTCAATTTTTTTACTCGCAGACCTTGTAGTCGAACATTGTTCTTTTTAGAACCTCTCCTTACAAGCTTAATCACGTGACTAAAAGTTTTATTTGATATACCTGTTAATAGTTAAGTTAATACCTCTGTAAAATGTTAGTTATACCTGAAAGGGTTTCATTCAAAAAACTAAACTTCCCTTTACCGGAAATATACACAGCAACTTTTTCTAAAAAGTTACTGGTAAAGGCAATCACCAGAGCCTAAAAATAAACCTTATTTTTATAACTCAATTAGTTAAAAATATCATAATTTCTTTGTATATGATTCTCATGTACTACAAAAATAAAAAAACACTACAAACAGACAACTCTCACTGTCATATATTTTCTGGATGGACAGACTATACTTACATTTGTCATTACTCCTATGTAAGTCATCGCTTGTAAAATGGCAAACCATGCACCTAAAACATTAACAAAATAAATATAAAATGTCCATCTCAATGCATTTCTACTTGACAGTGATTTATAAATACATTTGTATTGAACACATTAATATATAATGATATTAAAGGCTGTCCAACAAGCCCGAGAATATTTCGACAGGCCAAATCCAAAAATATGATACAAAAAAACATTGTTGTCTGTACATATAGAATTAAAATGACAAACCCAACTGTCACTGTCAGGGATTCCCGCGATGGGCAGTCTTTAATACAAACTTTATACAGAATTATACATATATTAGGTATATTACCTAGCCCTACAACTTTATTGGGTACAGGCCTCCTGTAGCTTTTTGAGATTTTGGATGCGTCCACTCTCAGTTCTACTGTGTTGTTGATTAAGGCAAATAAGGGAGCCAAAGGGAAACCCATTATAAAAAATGTCACGAATCCATACTGAATTACTATAAACAAACAAGATTTTACAACATTAAATATACAGGGTTTTTCAAAAAACATGTGCCATCTCTTGTTATAATAAAAAAATATGACGATAAATGTTTGGAATATCAAAACGGAATGAATCTTAATAAATAAAAAGACTAAATTCTTTACCCATATCCATGTACTCTTTTACAATGAAAAACTCTTCGGTCTTTGCCATGACGAATTCTTTTTCCCACTGAGGCACATAGGTATCGCGACTGTTTAATTTTGTTAACATCGAATTAGCTCTTTCCATCAGTATTCTACAAAATTGTATTAATTATTGTGCAATAAAATATTAGTTGGTTGTTATCTAGGAAAGAAAATTCATAATCACATAAGATAGGACATGAAGGATGCAGGGATATGTACCCATTAAATGTATATATTACACAGTTGGGTATTATAGTTCTGACGAAGTTTCCGGACCACCCTGTATAAAAAAGTCTTTGTTTTTATTTTTTTATAGATTAATGATTGGTACTTACGGCACAAATACCTGCTGAATATTACTGATACAAGCCTTTAAGGTCATGATAATAATTAACAGTATGGACAGATCGATTATGCAACCGCTGGCATCACAAATGTCGGTGTTTACTCCACCTAAGTAGTGCCATATTTTGTGATCCCCCGGGTACGTGAAAAACTTGCCCTAAAAATAGTTAAAAACTGAATTTACTCTACTCTTGCTTTAGGCGATCAATCGACTTGCCCCTGACCAAAACTAACCTTTATGTTGGACTTATATTAGTCTAGATTCTTATAAAGTACATAGCGTATTAAAATACCTTGAAAAATGCTACATAAAACAGAGCGGCATAATTATTGGTGAAGGCTAGGGCGTAACTTTTGAAAATGTAAGCGTTGGAATAACTGCTTTGAGTTCTGTGACATTCCTGATTGGTCAGAGCCAGAGCTATGTACTCGTAGAACTGAAAATATATTAAATTTAGGTAATAACATATGATCGAAAAAAAAAACGGCGTCTAGTTGGCTTGGAAATGAACATCAATGACTTTCCCCTTATAATTTTACACATAAAATAACAGCGATCTTATTATTATAGCGATTATTATTTCATAGCCATCGTTGACGCCGTTTATTTTTCGATCATACAGTATAATAAGTTAATACCACAGATTATACAGATTATAATCTTTGTTTTTTCTTTATTGTTTTTCGTGGTTCCAATTTTCGGAATCGGGCACTAGTTAGGTGACTAGTTTGCGCACATAGCACGCCCACTTATGGCCTCTAAAATTGTGCACAGCGCCTGACCGGCACAGGTATTAGAGAGATATCGGAAAACCGAATAGCGTCCAGTATTTACGCGTAGTACGATATGCGCGAGTCAATTTTTAACGCAACACCCGCTAATAACGTTACCGCCTGACGTAATTTGCGGATCAATTACACCAAACGCTCTTTCTAAATAACCTCTGATAACGTTTAAAAATTGCTTAAATGGGCATGTGCGGGTATTTGACAACCGGAGCCGGCCGGCGAGATCTTTTATTTTAGGTTATGTTTGAATTGTTTTGAATTATTATTTTAGTTTTATTAGGTAATTTGATATTTAAGTAGCTGGGATTAATTTTAATTAAATAAATATGGCCCAAAATATGGATTCCACCTCTTCCAATACTAAAGAACCTATAAAGAGTCTTAGGTTTACAACAGATGACGACTTAGCCCTTCTAAGAGAATTTGTTGCTTGTTGCCCTAAACCCACTGGCAGACGTTGAACAATAAAGCACTGGAAATAAGCACTTTAGCCCTTAAAATACCTAGTGAACAAAACAATTTCAAAGTTTTAAATTCAAAGTTAGGTTAAGTTTAAATAGCGGACGCGACGCGATCAGAATTCTTTCCGATCCGATAACTATAAATGAAGAGAGTTAATACCACCTCACGTAAAGGAAATAACACCTGGCCTTATTAACGTCCATGCACGCTATTCGGTTTAGCGATATCTCTCTATTACGCTGTTTATTGTTATTTTACGCGAGTTTATTTTTGCGCACAGGAAATTTGACTCGTTTGCACATCGTCATAAAAAACAACTATCGTACCACGAATTAGGGACAAGATTTTTATCTGTATACTTATAGGATACCTAATCTGTGTTAATACTAATACGGAACGATCAACAATGGTAGAAATAGTTGGCTATTCTGATTTTGCTCGTGTGGTTGACATTAAATTTAAGAAATTCGATCAGCTGTTTCTGATCATTAATTTTTGACGGCATTTAAATTCGTTTTCTATAATAATGTGAGATTAATCAAAAAGAGATCAGAAAAAAAATATATTTAAACTGAAGGTTTTCTTATTTAATTATTGAATAAGTGTATTAAAAAGAAGGGAAGGTTTTTTTTAATATGAATTTTTGATATTTTCGCTTAAAAAATCGTATTTTAAATTTCAATCTAGAGTGCCATGGCTGTGTTAAAACACTAACCTTTAATCAAAGAGCCTTGGAAAAATAGATTTGATCGTCTAGTTTTTTCTTGTCTTGTCCTAGCCGGTTAAAAGAAACCCAAATCGTATTTTTAATCATATCGCATTTTTTCATATGGAACGAAGGTGGCTCATTAACATATTTGGAAAAAACATTTTTTTACGAATAATTTGGTACCACACACTTGGCATTTTGAGTCAAATTTTTGTTATGAACCGCATGTTACAAAAACCATATGTGAAAATGTCAAAAGTTGACACATGATGTGTCATTCTATTCAGAGTATCATTTTCTATCGAATAAAGTAAATAAATACTGAGGGTGAACAACCAAAAGTTGTAGTAATTTCCGGTGAAACAGGAAGTGACCGAAAATAATTGAATACGTCAATCAATCCTGATTTATGTCATATAATAACGTACCAAAAAATCTTTATCTGAAAAAAAATCTTATAACGGTGAGTCACTTTTGAGAAACACCCCGTATATGCGGATATCATAGAAACCGAGGGGTGTATTTAGGAAACGTTGATCGCCCTTTAAAAAATACTTACCGCTTGAAAAAAGAAAATAAATAGTCCAGACAGTGTGGCCCCTGAGACAGAAGCCACCATAACTCCTATTTGGCTATTGATTATTTCCGCTGAAGAGGTTTTCATCAAGGCAATTAAAACGGTCACCCTGTACACCATCACACTGAAAGTCGCCAAACACATAACCATCAGCTAAAAATGAACAAATATATGGCTATTACTGTCATCTGTCAAAATATTTTCTGACTCTTTGGGCGGAATTTATTTAGGCTGTATTCCGTTGCAAAACCAGACCGGTAAACTACGGTAAAGAGCGGTTCCTGAAAACCATCGCACGGTGGGGTATTTGACACCGATAGTTGATCGAAATTTTTTTATGTAGACCTTATATAAATTATTGCTATTTTCAATTAAAGAGGAAATAATATGAACAAAATAAAGGATAATTCGTCGATTCTAAAAAGAAGAAAGAAAAATCACTGTCCTATTACTAATATATATATATATATATATATATATATTACTAATGCCACTAATGCCAGTAGTAATATCGCAACTAATACTACTAATGCTACGACTGATCCGCGACCAATTCCTATACCACTAAAGCCGCTACTAATGCCAAATTGTTCTATACTGCTAATGGCACTAATGCGATCGCTTTGTACACAACAATGCCATCGCGATTTACACCTCGCATTAGTATATTACTGATTTGCAAATTAGAGGAAACCAAGAATGTTTTTCTCATTTTATCAGCAAAGTCGCAAAAAGTCGCAATATTTTATTTTACTGTATGAAAGCCCAATGTTTACTTAGTAAAACATATATAGGCAATATGCTGAATTCTTCGAAATGCGCAACTAAATCTCTAAGTATAATAAAAATGTCACAAATTTAATCAAATTTTCTGAACGCCTAACTTTTAGTTGCAAAAAAAATCGTTAGTATAGAGAATATCAAAATAAATAATATGTTTTCGTAGAATACATACCTGCAGCTTGCTAAGCCATTTTCAATCAAAACAATAATATAAACGTAAAAGGAGCACAAGAACAACAATAATTTATAATTTTAAACATAAAATTTAGCCATTTACCTCTTATCTCTGAGAAGTAACAACTTTGACGTTTCATTGAAACAAATGAATGCAACTATAAACACACCCATAGCAACGCCATTCATGACAGACATGATTTAACTTATCATTTATCTTTTTTTGGGGAATCTTAAACACATTTGCTTTTTCGAATTTCGATCACCTTTTTCATGCTAATACTCCACCGTGCATCGGTTTGATACGGAACGGTTTGGTAAAATACTGGAAACGTCAAATGTTGACGTTTTCTAAATTTCAATACATCTATTATAAAATTTATCTTTTATGTATTTTTAATGTACCTGTTCTCTGTTTTTACGTTTGCTTCTTCTTTCCAAAGGAGTTTCATATTGAAAAGTATTTTATTAATAAACTGTTAGACAGCTCAAGTGAAGATTTGCAGGTCCAATATTAAAATAGATCAATAATAAATAAAAAAATCTAATCAATATTTATATTTTTATAGCTTACAAATACAAAACATTCACGATTACTTGTTGTCTTGTTGTTCATGTCTTCTTTAAATGTTCCTGACTTTAAGAAACAATGATAGATGGTCCTAAAAAGCCATTCTATTTAGTTAATGAAATTTATTTACCTTTACTGCCTACCTCCATTACTTTTGGATGTATACAAAATATTATTACAAATTTTAGAAATTAAATAAGAATTTCACTAATCTAATATTTGCTTGATTTCTGACAAACAAAACCAGAAAAACCAGCCTTCTCGCGCTGGTTAGTTTAGTGACAGTTATTAGCGAATTTTTCAGGAACCGTGTTCCGTAAGAAGAAAACTTTCAGGAAACCGATAGAAACGGAACATAAAACCATAACCAAGGGAAGCAACGGAATACACCCTTAGTCAAAATGTAATGTTTTGCTCTTACCAATAAGACAACGGACACCAAGGTGATAGTGTAGTGAGCACAAATGTATTCTCTACGTAAATATGGTTCCATTTTATTGGTCACCGTGGAGTAGCGTTTGTCAGCAACTTCTAAATATTGCGGCCTGAAATTATTTATGTTATTATGTGGATAATTTAATGTGTAATGGTAATTAATGTTATAACATAAAGGGCCTTTACTACCACTTTCCCGTTCAAAATATTCTAATAAAGTTGCGATGAGTTTTTTAAGACTATGAAGCTATCTAGTACGCTTCGCACTAAAAGAGGTTCTAAAAAGAACAATGTTTGACTACAAGGTCTGCTAGTAAACGTTTTTAAGCTTAAAGTGTCACCATTTATTTAAACCAAAAACTAGTAATACAAAACTAAAGAGTAAAAAAATGAGAATATCAGGAAATAAATAAATAAATGCAGCAACTTGACATTTTTTACAGCAGAGCTATACCACCTGAATCCCCAGCGCGAAATTTAAATTCCAACTAGTCAGTACGGCGCCGAATATGTCCATGGTTGGCAACAATGAATTTAAAAGTCGCGCCCTCGATTACGTAACTATAAGTTTAATTGATATCAAATATACATTTTGCGTGGGTTTCGTCCAAGGTTATTAAAGGGTAAGGTTCTCTCGTAACTTTTGGACCAATAGGAGCGAAGCGGAATAGCATCCCTCTGTCGTAGATAGAACGTATAAAACCATAGATAAAAGGAATAGAAAATAAAATGCAACCACCAAAGAGAGATAAATGGACAATACAATAAAGAAAACACACATCAAACAACTGAAAACTATTGACGCCACACACTATAAACAGTAAAGTACACAATGAACATCGATTCGGAAATGCACTGTCGGACTGTGGGCAGTTTTTATCCCTTTATCTATGAGCGGTGTCATTCCTATGACGTTTTAGATAATGGCGGATCGAGTTACGAGATAACCTTATCTTTTAATAACCTTGGGTTTCGTCTAGATAATTTAATCATTTAATGTCAGTAGTAGCACAGAATATATAACTACTTATATAGCTATACCAGGGTGTTTCAAAAAACATGTGCCACCTCTCGTGGGGAGATTCCTCTCGTAAAAATAAAATTTAGTTTGTTATATCAGCGCAGGAACGATTCTGCTTTGTTTCGCAGCTACAGGGTTTAAAGTCTTTTTTTTCTTGATAAAACTTGATAAGCGCCAATTTCAATTTTCAATATTATAATAGGTTATCTGGTCCCTACTAAATGTATATAAATTCTGCAGGGCAATAAGTTGTTAAATCCTATGATATATGACTAATAGAAATATAGAATACACGGTACAGATAACCACCAGCCGTCCAGTAAAATTAGTAAAATGGCGCTTATCATGTTTTTCCCCTGGACCCTCTATATAATATTATGCCATTTGTGTCTAGCCCCAGCAGGCAACTATTAAGCCCGACCAATCACGTTAGAGTTTTTGACCAAACACAAATAATTAACACCCTCCAAATAACCACGCTAACCAACCTGATTAGTCAAGCTTAATAGTTGCCTGCTGGGGCTAGACACTTTTTATTATGCCTACCTAAAGCTTATAGCATACTCCAAGGATTGCAAATTCCATTGTAAACGCAACACAGACTCCCTACGTTGCCACATTTCCATAAAAACAGTTGCTAAAAAACACTATTAGTTCATATTATGTTATACAGTTCATACCAGATAAACTTTTAGAAAGTAGCTCAACCTAGGATGTTTATGGATGTAAAGCACCAGATGGCGGGGCGTATTTCACAGTCTTTTACTACAGAAAAATATTTTTTGTTACTCTGAATTTTGAAGCGACCAATAAAAACAGAGAAAATAAAAATCGATAATTTTCGGACTGTGCCAATTGGTTACTAATCGACCAGATACTTTTTGTCTATTAGATATGCTATAAAAGCTGGTAATTATACAATTCGACCATTGTAAAGCCCCGTTCTCAGAACAACGTCGTGTCGCGGGCGACAGAGTTTGACATTTCAAACAACCAATGGGAGCTGTACTAAATTTAAAATTGACAGCTGTTTGAATTTTGTACAAATCTGATTGGTTCTTTTGTCGTGTCGCTGGCGACAGTCGCAGTTCTGAGAACGGGGCTTAAAGCCCCGTTCTCAGAACTGCGTCGTGTCGACAGCGACACTGATTGACACTTCAAACGACCAATGGGAGCTGTACTAAATTTAAAATTGACAGCTGTTTGAATTTTGTACAAATCTGATGGGTTCGTTCAATCAATCACGGTTCTTTTGTCGTGTCGCTGGCGACAGTCGCAGTTCTGAGAACGGGGCTTAAATACCCGACAAATTTCACAAGGCCGACGAGGCCGATATTTTTCACTGATAAGAAAAAAAAATGTTTGTTTAGATAATTTTCGAGATTTTTTCTTTCTGAATGCACATTTTTAAAGTATTTTATATTCTTTGTCCGCTTGATCTATTATACTGGTTGCACGTATCGAAGTTCTGTTTCTTCTAGTTTTAAAAAATGTTCTTATTTCTTTGTAGTTGTAGTGGTTGTAGTGTAAAATTAGATTAATTTTATTAAGTTTAATTATAATGTTTAGTGTAGAATACCAGAAAGAGTTTAGTAGTGTTTTTATAGTTTATTATTTTGCAGTTAAGTAGTAGGTGAAAAGATAATTTGGTTATTTTTTTCTTTTTGTTTGATTAATTAGTAAGTTTGATAATTTTTTCAGTGTAGAAGTGGTTGAAGTAGTGAAGAAGTAGTTGTGTAGTGTTTTTATAAGAGATTATATTAGTTTATTTTGTAGATGAGTAGTAGGTGAAGGTATTTGAGTATTTTTTCTTTTTGTTTTTCTTCTAATTGTAGTAATTCTATTAAGTATTGTGATAGATACACTATATCTTCCTTCAACTTCGTTGAAAAGTGCGTTATCATATAATTTTGGTTTTCTGGTAGTAGAATATACGAAGAAAAAATCTGATCAAATTTATTTTAAATTAAATTAATCGAGTTTTATTAATCAAATTAATCTGGTCAAATAATAATAATGGTTAGTTTCTAAATACTACACAGGGTGAGTTTCCTACGATGTTCTCTATGGGTATCTCGGAAACTACTGGAGATAGAGTCGGTTAAATGGGGAAAAAATTGCAGTTTTGTGGGGTCATAAATATGCGCCTTTCGGATTTTTCGGAGAAATTCAAGGCTTACTAGATATTTCGAAAAAAAAAATTTTGGCTATTTTAAAACTTTGTCTCTAATTCCATTATAATCTACCGTATGATCGAATAAAAACGGCGTCAACGATGGCTATGAAATGGAGATCGCTGTCATTTTATACCTATGTAAAATTATATGGGAAATATCATCGATCGTCATTTCATAGCCATCGCTGAAGCCGTTTTTATTCGATCATACGGTACTTTAGACAAAAACTTTTCAGATAAAAGTTGTAGATAATCACATACCTAATGAGTTTGTGTTTTCTGTTTTTTTTTCTAAAGCCTGTCATTTTTGACATATGACACAAACATTATGTTTTTTTTAAATGGAAACCATAGTTGGCCATGACTTCATAAAAAGCGCCATTTTTAAGCTTTTCAGCGATATAGGTATAATATGTTTTTTTCGAAAAATTACAAGTTATAGCCAATTCTTTTCTTTCTTGGCTAATTTCCATACCAATAATACCATGCCAATTAGTTGGCATCAAAAATGTAAAAAGTTTCATGTTTTCAAAAAAAAATATAAAATTCGTAAAGCACTCAATTAAGAATAAAATAATCTAAGAATGAAATGATTCTTTTATAAACCTGCATTAAATCAAATTAAAATAGGTATGTAACTTTTTTTTAAATATTAATTAACAGCAATTAGCATTATCATAAATTATAAATAATGTACCAACATATCGAAATAATAATTTCTTTGTTAATACGGTTTAGAATTCTTAAAATAACAGGCAAAAATAATCCCCAATTTACAAAAAAATAAAAGTTTCGTTTAAATTTCTTAATCAGCTGATCACTATTAAAGTTCGCAGAAACCCTGGGCTATATTATTACATTACTCTGAGGAAAATAACGAAAATAATCGATATTTTTGACTCCGCCCCGAAAGGTTCACGATTTGTCCTCCAGTTGGCAGCACATTTTGTCTAGTCGGTTGGGCAACTTTAAGAATATATAAACAAAGCTTTTAGTCAGGTGATAAGCTTGTCCGGCACAGCTTTGTCCACTTTTACATATATTCTTTTAATCAAAATATTTTAGGAAACAAAAATGAATTAATTATAAATATATAACCAGTTATTATTTACATCAACAAAACCACTAACTTACCCCAAATTGACATAACAGCAGCGAAAATGGCAGCCACCACGTTATCAAACAGATACGCCAAATTGGCTAGCACACAGTAGTTCTTGATCCTGTACAGTTGGCATTTTTTAAAATGGCACTTGGGACACATCATATAGCTGCTCGCGCAAATTTCTTTCCTAGAACATTATTAGTCTACAGGATTTTTCACCATAGTGATTTTTAGTTTTCACCATTAAATAAAGTTAATAGAATAAAAATAAAAAAACCATTAAATAAAGTTAATAGAGCCATGTTACCATCATCGGAAGATGATTAAAACTATAGGTTTAATCTGCTGATGATCAGTGATTTTTCTACAAGCAAAAATTTTTATGAAGATGCATTTTCCTCAAAATGTCTGTAATAAAAGTGTTTCCTCTTGTAAAGACAATCCGGGGACATACCGTATACTTAACACTGTATATTATACAGGGTTGTTCACCACATACGACACGGAGTATTGTGGCTAACCGATGATATTTTTACAAATTGTAAGTTTGGGGTTCGTTGAAGGACTATTAGAGCTACAATTTAAAAATATTTTTACAAGATACAGAGTGTGCCAAATAAATAAAAAATATCAAAGTTGTATTTTTTTAAATGGAACACCCTGTATATTATTACATTTTTAGTTTCTACGATTAAAATAAAGGTAAATTTGATTAAGGTTTATTATACTTAAACCTTACCGTTTTTGAAATATTTTCAATTTTGTGAAATTGCAGTAAAAATTTTAAAGCTTCATTTCTCCAAGGGTATCAATGTTTTTAATACTAAATATTTAATGAAGTGTATTTATTGATCAGTTATTGTGTTGCAATAATAAAAACAATACTACCTTATACAGAGTGTCTAAAAATTTATTTTATATAATTATTAGCTTCAAACGGCAATAACTTCTTTAATTTAAATGGAATGCCCTGTATATTTTAGGAGAATCAGATGCACAATTAAATTGTCTATCAAATTGTATTATACCATTTTTTACCTATCCCTTCAAGTTTTCGTAGAAAATGCATTTTCTTTTAATTTAGACCTCATTTATCAATATATCCATGGAATATTGACATTTTACATTGTTTTTAAAGCAACAAATGTACAAAATGTACAGACTAGTAATATTATCGTTTTTAGCAAAACGATAATATTACTAGCCCATTTGTATGCAAAAAGAAAACTATTTAAATCTTTATAAAAGAGTATACCATTAATTAAATATAACACCATTATTTCCGCCCATATACTAATTAATTACATACTTAATTGTGTTCGTTAATAAATTATTATAAATAAATGTGGATTTGAGTCAGAAATCAATATAATAATAAGTTATCAAATTAAAGTCTCTGTTGTTATAAATAAACATTTATTAAAAAATGAAATATTATTTTTAAGGTGTTACTTTTTATCACACTGTCTAATGCCCATACAAAATTCAGTTTTTTAGTATTTGGAGCAATTATTATTAATCAACGCAAACAGTCAGTTAATGTAGTTTGAATACTGGAATCATATTAATTGATTCTCTTTAACAAATATTTAAACAGTTTTTTTTTATTTTTTAATGAAATAAACGAATTATATCGACAATATTAGTATCTGTACTCTTTAAAAATTTGGTACATCTTTAAAAATAATCGAAAATGTCAATAGTCCATGGGTATATTGATAAATAAGTTCTAAATTACAAGAAAATGCATTTTCTACGGAAACTTAAAGAGATAGGTAAAAATGGTATAATATAATTTGATAGACAATTAAATTGTGCATCTGATTCTCGTAAAATATAGAGGGTGTTCCATTTAAATTAAACAAGTTATTGCCGTTTGAAGCTAATAATTATTTAAAATAAATTTTTAGACACTCTGTATAAGGTAGTATTATTTTTATTATTGCAACACAATAACTGATCAGTAAATAAACTTCAGTAAATATTTAGTATTAAAAACTTTGATACCCTTTGGAGAAATGAAGCCTTAAAATTTTTACTGCAATTTCACAAAATTGAAAAATATTTCAAAAACGGTAAGGTTTAAGTATAATAAACCTTAATCAAATTTACCTTTATTTTAATCGTAGAAACTAAAATGTAATAATATACAGGGTGTTCCATTTAAAAAATACAACTTTGATATTTTTTACTTATTTGGGACACTCTGTATCTTGTAAAATTATTTTTAAATTGTACCTCTAATAGTCCTTCATCGAATCCAAAACTTACAATTTGTAAAAATCTCATCGTTTAGCTACAATACTCCGTGTCGTATGTGGTGAACAACCCTGTATACATTAATTTGCATTGAAGAATCGCATGAAAACACATTTAATTTTTAAACACACTTAGAATAGTGAACAACAAACAAAAATATACAAAATACCATGCGAATGCGATAAATTTTATGTTGGTGAAACATCTAAACCCTTAAATATTCGAATTAAAGAGCATAAAGATTATTTAAGAAAGGACGACTTTCACAAATCTAAGATTTGTCAGCATTCATGGGAGACAGGGCACAGAATAGATTTTAACAACGCCAAAATTATAATGAAAGAAGCGATAGCCTCTAAAAGAAAAATAAAAAAAGCTTTTTTAATACAATCTAATAAAAATAATTGTATTGCTCATGCATCTGTAGATGTTAGTAATGTATGGCAATCGCTTCTTTGATTTTAAAGAACATAACATAAATAAACATAACACGTAAAAATTAAAAACAAATTAACAATAATCATACAGAAAGTTTGAAGCTTTTTGGTTTTACCTTATTAAGTAATTATTGATATTAGGTAGTAATTGTTAATTTTGAAGTTTAAATTGGTATAATGTTATGTTAACAGAACGTCAACGGTTTTTTGTAGACGTATCTGTTTTAAAAAAACTAAAGTGTTCTCGAATAGTTGCATTTAAATATTTTAAATAGTTTTTTCTTTATTAAAATTTTCTTTATTAAAAAAAAATTAAACGTTAAGCATTTTTTTTGTCCGTTAGGCAAATTTGTTTATTGATAGACCACTGCTGACAATTAGTCTCCGTTGGATTAACGCAGCAGTGTTTACAAAAAATAACTATTTAATTTTGTAGACTTTCTTGCAGTGGCGAAATACCCATACCCATATAGGAGATAGGTTAAGTTAGGTTAGGTTGCTGGGGTTTGGGATCATGTTTGATCCCTCACTCGGAGGCCTTGGGCCCATTGCGATACCCCTGTATTGTTGTACCAAACCTTCATCTCATTCTTTCTTTGCGTTAAAGCACTTCCAGCTCTTTGCAAAGTTCCTATCTAACGAGGTTTGCCCCCGTGGGACAGCTTCCAGTGACGACCCCTACAATTATGCGTACTAGGTCCTTTTTGTGCTCTAGTAGTTGTTTTGTCTTTTTGCTATCTACCACTGGCCATAGTCTTCAAGCTGTAGCGCAGTCCTTAGGAGATATGTACATACCCTTTTTTGGAGAGATGAATCCGCCTCATAGGTATAGACATTTTTAAAACGCATTTAGTCAAAATCTGCTCTTTCTATGCGAGTCTAGGCTAAGATAAACATGATTTTAGTTCTTACCCAACACTGTTAAATGCCGTTGGCATCGTAACAATGCCATAAGCAATAACAAAAATGGAGATTATGGACGCAGGTATCAGCATCTTCACGTAGAATCCCAACCAAGCAAAATAGAGGGCTATTTCGGTTCCATAGTATTTTTCAATCAAGTTGACAGGTTGTGCCTTGTGCCACACTTTAAACCCACCCCAGTAACGTCGTAGAAGCTGAAAATAAGACAGAGAGATTAGTATAGCACTTCGTTAAAGTATTTTGTATTTCCATTAGTGATGTCGGTATTTGAGTAACGCGATTTTGAAGCGGTATTTTTTTGTAACGAAGTGTCGCGCTCCACAACGAATCAGGAACCTGTTACTGAAGAACGACGATCATAATGACGACAAAATTATAAATTATTTATAATTTGCAAATAAATTATTTATAATCGCTCTTGAAGTTAGCTTGAACCGTATTAACCGCATAGCGACGTGTTTAGCTCCAGCCGTCGCGATTTCGTCGGTCCCCAACAGTAGTAACTGGCACTGGTATGTAGGTAGCGTCGCGCGGTTTCGCTCCAGTCGTCGCGCTCCTAGAGCCGTAGTTCCGCCTGTCGCAAACAGAAGTAAACTGGTAACCGCTGTAACTGATTATCGACGCTCGACCGCGGCGGCGACGTAACTTCGCTCCAGCGCAGCCGTCGCGCTCCCTAGATCCGTAGTTTCGTCTGTCGCGAACAGAAGTAACGGTCCCTGCTGTAACTGGCTATCGACGCTCGACCTCGGCGGCGACCTACTTCGTTCCAGCAGTCGCTTCTAGGGTTTCGGTTTTGCCTGTCGGGATTTGGTGGGTTACTATTGGCGTTGGCGCTCCCGTCGCTACGTTACTTTCGAAATATAGCCATTTTTGGTATGTACTAGGCATGGTATAAAATAGCGTTGTTTGAAAAATGAAGCGCAAAAGCAAATAAAATAAAATGTTCTTTGCTTTTATACATTTATATAAGTTTTATTGTTTATATCTATTTTTAAGGTTAGGTTAGGCCAATAAACAATTTTTTTACAGTGGTTTGGACTTTGTTCTTGATTTTAACATTAAATATATTATATTGCAATACACATAAATATGAGTTTCTCTCGTTTCTTTGCCTATTTTCATAGTCTTTTTTAAAAAATTGTACTTTTAAGCACAAACTGTACTTTTAAACACAAATTTTAAGAACTAAATTTTCGAGTTTTTGTATTGCATTTTTTGAAATCGTGTGTTGAAAATATGCCGAAGCATTTAAATAATCGAACCAAAAAGCTTGTAGCTTCCCTGATAAACTATTTTGAACGAGAACGTGACAATAAAGGTCCTTTATTACCCTTGACTGTAGTCAGAGAAGTAAGTTTTCAACTTGCACGGTTCCACTTATTTGTTCAAAATAATATCGAATAAGGGGTTTTCACCGATTAAAATCGTTATTAAGTCATACATATCAGTTGTAAATCAATGTTTTTAAATGAACTGTTGCCAAAATCTCTCAGAATTAGTGATAAAGGACAAAAAGAAAACCCAAAAGGAAGCCGAAAAAATAATCGCGGTTAAACTGGTCTTGGGATTTAATCGCTTATCTAAACAAAATTTATTCGAAAAATTAGATTAGCTGATTGGTCCATTTCGCGATGAGAGAAATAATCAGTATTAATACCGTTTTAAATTTAATATGATAAGTTTGATAAGTCTTTGTACTGCACTTACTTGCCTATCGTTTAGTGGTCCTTCATCAGTCCATTTACAGGTACCGTCGTGTAGAGGGTAGGCATCTACAAAAGTGTGTAACTTAATAAGCCTAAAATAATAAATAAGGTGAATAAAGAAAGTTCTACCCACTAACCTACACTGACAGATATTTTTCAGTAATCATAAATAACAGTAATTAATAATATCAGTTGCTCGTGATATCTTTAGACAGATTATAGTTGTTGGACAGATTATATTGTCTGTCCAACGAGATTTCGACAGACGACATTAAAAAATCACAGAATATATAATTTGCCTGTGAATTAAAATGACAGACACACTTATCACTGTGAAGGCTAAGGTCCTGTTGGACAAATAATGATAATATGAATAAGTTCATAATTTTAGCAATTATGAGACGCACTTTTTTAAATGCATAAAAATTGCATTAATAATTCTAGTGTCTTATACATGTAAAATGGATTCATAATAAACTGATTAACTTGAGAAATGAAATTATAATAATTAATTAACACTACTTTACTTGTGTATTCCGTAATCACCACGATCTACGCCATAAATTGCCCTGATTAAAATGTGATTAACTACCATAATCTTCTCAGCGGAAGTTACCTTTTTGGGTGTATCTCCACTAAACGCTTCTCTAGAATAATACAGAAGTGTATAAAGTATAATAAATAAATAAATAATAGTTTATTGTCTAACAGGAAATCCCAAATTAAAGACAATTGTGTACACTAAAAAAATCAGAACATTCATAATAAATGAAGCTAACATAAGCACAAATCAACAATAAAAGTACAATGCAAAATATAACAAATCCTATATGTAATCTTAAAAAAAATAACACCTAGTATAAATTTAAAAGTGAAAGTAAAACTCTAATTCTAACGAACTACAATATAAAATATCAAAAAATGCTAGGATTCTTTATTTGCCGGACCAAAACATTCCTGAATTGACGCAGTGAGTCGCCAAATATATCAACAGATGCCAGGCTCTCAACATCATTGAAATCAGTACAGGCCCGGTAGAAGGGTGCCTTACCGGCTAAACAAGTCCTAACGTTTGACAGGTAGAACGCATGAGGTATGATCGATAGCGGTTCCAATCTCGTTAAGTTTGCGCATACCACCTGTGACGTCATAAGCCATCCAAAAAAATATCCATATTGTACAATTGCCACTAATAAAAAAAGACATAAAATAGGGAAGAGTTAGGACATAACCCCAAAAGTTATGTCAAATCATCGAGCTTGACATTTGAAAAATTATTTTCATATTTATTGTGTCATCTGTTTGACAATTTGAAATTGGCGCGCGGAACTTGCCGACCAATGGTGTCGTTTATCACCTGTGACGTAGTGACCAACCTGCGCAATATCATACCTGGGTAGAACGTGTTTTGATAGTGTTTTGATTTCTAGTACGGACGAGCGGAGCTGAAAAGTTCAGCCGAGCTAATAGCGAAGCGCAGTCCGCATGACCGTTACAAAGTTTATAAAGGAAAGATAAAGAGTGAAGTCTATGAGTTTGCTCAATAGATAAAAGATCAGACCTTTGCAACAGCTGTAAGTGGTTATAACCACGCTCTGGGAAAACACCATCCAGTTTGAACGAGAGATATTTTAGGCTGAACATTTTCTAATCTCCGGATATGGACCTGGTGAATTGGTGACCAAATTTGAGAGGCATAATTGGTTTTTGATTTCACAAGGCTCATGTATAATGCCGTTAGACATAATGGACTATTGAAACCTTCTGAAGATTTAAGAGCACCACGGGATACTTCATCAATATGTATGTTAAAAGTCAGTTTCTTATCCAAGTAAACACCCAAGTCCTTAACATGCTCACAATTTTCCAGGATTGCGCTATTTATGGTATAGGGGTGATCAAGTTCAATACGTTTCAGAGAATAGGACATTTTTTTACAGTTAGAGGTGTTTAAAGCAAGTCGATTTTCCACGCACCAATTAGAGATAATATCAAGATCGGCCTGCAGACGGATGCAGTCATCCTTACACCGGACGACACTAAAAATCTTCAGATCATCTGCAAATAAAAGCGAACAGCTCTTTAATTGGGTCACTATATCGTTTATGTATATTGAAAATATAAGTATATTTATAATTAATTTATTTTTGTTTCTTAAAATATTTTCATTAAAAGAAAATATGGTAAAGTGGGCAACGCAGTGCCGATCAAGCTTAATCACGTGACTAAAAGTTTATTTGATATGGTGGAAACTTATTACTTTACTACTATCATTTTTCGGTACTACACCTTTAAGGAACCGGGATTTCTGGTGTTCTTGGTACTTTCGATGGCGCAGTTTTTCAATCAGCAAGCAAGTGATAAAAAAAACGGACAAGTGTGAGTTGGACTAGTCCACCGAAGGCCACCTCGCATTTTCGAGACCGGGATTTCCCGCTTCTGAACCGTAAAGGGGCGTCCAGACCAGATGAGCGAGCAGTACGAGCGCGAGCAAACATTTATTCAAATTCGCTCGTGATTTCTGCTGCTCTCGAGCACATGATCAGCTTCCGTCCAGACCTAGCGATTATTTGTATGTTCGGCGTTGATCGGTGTGTGGCACTTCATGTTTATAATGTCGGAAAAAATTATTGCTTGTGCGTCTTTCATTGTATTTTATAAATTTTTGAAACGTCAAAAGAGACGCAGAGGAGATGGTGGAACATAACTCTTTTTAAAAATCGAGTTTCTCATGGTGGTAACAATTTACTAAACGATGTTGAAACAGAAGATTCTGGAAAATTTAAGAACTTTTCGGATGTCACTTACAGATTTTAATACCTTATTAGATTTAATTGACATAAAAATAATGAAAAGTGATACGAATTACCGAAAAGCAATTTCACCTAGAGAAAGGCTAGCTATAACCTTACGGGTCTTGGCGATTTTTGTACTCCTCTATTAGTTCTAAAACAACTTCATTCGGCCATTCCATTTTTGATATTCGATCGCAAACGTGGTAAACAAAATCCCGTCCAAACCGACACGGCGCACAATGGATCGAAGTATAAGAAGATAGGGACATTGGCTGTTTTTGAAGAGTTCCAAATTTAAATATTTTTTTACATATTTGTGTTAAAGAGATATTCTAGTCTTGTAAAACATATACAGTATGTCTGTTTGTTATTTACTTATTGAGCATATGAGCACCAATTGAAGTAAATTGAAAAATCATTCAAATTGGTAGATAAAAGTCTTACATTTGATTGTAATTTTAAAATGGATGTAAAAGATATTCGTTTGTTATATATAACGACTTATTAGAAGCGTTCTTGGGCTATAGTATTGGATTGTTAAATTTAAAAAAGTCACACCAGAAGTGAAAAACTCATTTGTTTTTTATTATGTCATTAAGACTTAAAAATATAAAGTTTTCTTGAATTACAAAAAATGTAAGCGGATGTAAGTGGAGATATTACGTGCAATGTAAAGAGCCACCTTTACTCGCACATATCATAAAAAATTAGCTGCCCCAAAGTGCCACTGCAAAAAATTTAATGTTTTTTTAATATCAAAATCCTTGAATTTATGCAATGCACGCACAGTGCACCATCAAACAATTTGTAATTTGCCGATATCGGTAAAGTATATTCGTCGAAGAACATTGGAGTGGGACTGAATTACACTACAATACATAAGGCATATAGGTTGAAAAGCCCAGAAATGTTTTCGTTTTGGTATTCGGTACCTATTCGGCAATTGAATTGGTATTCGGCAATTTGTCGAGTTTGCCGTGGACGCGCATCACGCGTTGCTTTGCAGAATATATTTGCAATTTTATTTTTAGATTTAGGGAGGAAATGGGTTTGATAGTCGATGTCGTTACGAAGGATGGGGCAAACGGTGGAAAACACTGCGAGAAGATTTTTCCGAAACTTCGAAAAGTCATAACAAATTACAGGGAATCGATAAATTGATTGCTGGAAAGACTATATACATTACTCCAAGTTTGGTTTCAGGAAAAAAAAATAAATGCCGAAAAAATTTAATAAATTTGCAAAAGAGACTGCAGAAGAGTTAACCTTTATGGATGGTATTACATGCCATCTTCTCTACCTAAAATTTTTCGATACACGGAGCAAAAATCATCAGCAATTTTGGTTTCCGATAGGGCATCTGTCTGAAGAGGCCTCCAGAGTCTAGGAATAAATACTTTCGGAAATATACAGAATGCCGTTCAAGAAGGTCTAACCAGAACTTTGCAAATGAAGACATTTTACATAATCTTTTGTTGTCTTCCGATCCATATATAACTGATATGCGTAGCTGTGGATAAAATTCGTAGCGATTTAACAGAAAGCAATATCTCTTTTTGTTATAATATATTTGTTTTCTTTTTTATTTAGAGATTAATTCTTTTGCGAGTCACCCTGTATATTTTGTTAACTATTTGGTACAAAAAGGCTATATTAATTTAGATTTAACAGAGAAAAAATTTCTCATATGTTATAATGTTTTGTTTTCTTTTTGTTTATAGATGAGCTCTTTTTGTAAGACACCCTGTATATTTTTTAAAATATCTGGTACAAAGGCCATATTAATTTAGATTTAACAGAGAAGCAATTTCTTTTTTGTTATAATATTTTTGTTTTCTTTTTTTGTTTAGATATTAGTTCTTTTTTTGAGACACCCTGTATATTTTGTAAACTATATAGTACAAAATGCCATATTAATTTAGATTTTTGTTGTATTTATTGAAGTCGTACATAAAAAACAGTAAAATAAAAGTATTAATTTCGAAATAAGTCAATGTCCCTATTTTCCTATGCTTCGATCCATTGTGCGGCGTGGAACAGCGTCGAGCGCGAGCAAGCAATTCATTCAGTCATTCGCTCGCTCGCAGAGCCGTCCACACCAGTTAAGCTTTCCCATAGAACATACCCGAATTCTTGCTCGCTCCTGCTCGCTCATATGATGAGCGAGCAGAAACGAGCGCGAGCAAACATTTATTCAAATTCGCTCGTGATTTCTGCTGCTCTCGAGCACATGATCAGTTTCCGTCCAGACCTAGCGATTATTTGTATGTTCGGCGTTGATCGGTGTGTGGCACTTCATGTTCATAATGTCGGAAAAAATTATTGCTTGTGCGTCTTTCATTGTATTTTATAAATTTTTGAAACATCAAAAGAGAAAACGACTGCAGAGGAGATGGTGGAACATAACTCTTTTTAAAAATCGAGTTTCTCATGGTGGTAACAATTTACTAAACGATGTTGAAACAGAAGATTCTGGAAAATTTAAGAACTTTTCGGATGTCACTTACAGATTTTTAATACCTTATTAGATTTAATTGACATAAAAAATAATGAAAAGTGATACGAATTACCGAAAAAGCAATTTCACCTAGAGAAAGGCTAGCTATAACCTTACGGGTCTTGGCAGTTTTTGTACTCCTCTATTCTAAAAAACAACTTCATTCGGCCATTCCATTTTGATATTCGATCGCAAACGTGGTAAACAAAAATCCCGTCCAAACTGAACGTACAATAGCGCGAATTTTCTTTGATGTACCGACACGGCGTGGAACAGCGTCGAGCGCGAAGCAATATAATCAAATCGCTCGCTCGCAGAGGCCGTCCACACCAGTTAAGCTTTCCCATAGAACATACCCGAATTCTTGCTCGCTCCTGCTCGCTCATATGATGAGCGAGCAGAAACGAGCGCGAGCAAACATTTATTCAAATTCGCTCGTGATTTCTGCTGCTCTCGAGCACATGATCAGTTTCCGTCCAGACCTAGCGATTATTTGTATGTTCGGCGTTGATCGGTGTGTGGCACTTCATGTTCATAATGTCGGAAAAATTATTGCTTGTGCGTCTTTCATTGTATTGCATAAATTTTGGAAACATCAAAGAGTAAAACGACTGCAGAGGAGATGGTGGAACATAACTCTTTTTAAAAATCGAGTTTCTCATGGTGGTAACAATTTACTAAACGATGTTGAAACAGAAGATTCTGGAAAATTTAAGAACTTTTCGGATGTCACTTACAGATTTTAATACCTTATTAGATTTAATTGACATAAAAATAATGAAAAGTGATACGAATTACCGAAAAGCAATTTCACCTAGAGAAAGGCTAGCTATAACCTTACGGGTCTTGGCGATTTTTGTACTCCTCTATTAGTTCTAAAACAACTTCATTCGGCCATTCCATTTTTGACATTCGATCGCAAACGTGGTAATCAAAATCCCGTCCAAACCGACACGGCGTGGAACAGCGTCGAGCGCGAGCAAGCAATTCATTCAGTTCATTCAGTCATTCGCTCGCTCGCAGAGCCGTCCACACCAGTTAAGCTTTCCCATAGAACATACCCGAATTCTTGCTCGCTCCTGCTCGCTCATATGGTCTGGACCAAAGGTCTGGACGCCCCTTAATAGTTAGCGTGGGGCTATTTGTTTACGATAGTTCATATCACATAAACTGTTAGTCACGTAATTAAGCTTGACCGCTACAGCGATGCCCACTTTTACATATTTTCTTTTAATCAAAATATTTGAGGAAACAACAATAAATTAATTATAAATATGTATATAAACAGTTATTATTTACATCAACAAAAACTCACTTTCTTAACAGCACTTAAGGGACATAAACGGCCATTACTACCGCTTTCCCGTTCAAAATATTATAATAAAGTTGCGATGAGTTTTTCACGGCTATTAAGCACACCTCTTGTACACTTCGCACTAAAATAGGTTTTAAAAAGAACAATGTTCAACTGTAAGGTCTGCTAATAAACATTTTTAAGCTTAAAGTATTATTTATTTAAACCAAAAACTCGTAATACAAAACTGAAGTGTCAAAACGAATAACAATGTCAGGAAATAAATAAATAAATGTGACAACATGACGTCTTTACAGCAGATCTACCACCTGAATCCCCAGCGGGAAATTTAAATTCAAGTTAGACAAGAGACGAATATGTTGCCGTGGTTGGCAACAATGAATTTAAAAATCGCGCCCTCGATTACGTAACTAAAAATTTAATTGATATCAAATATACTATTTTGTTTTCTCTATGTTTATCTTAGTTTTTATTCTATGAAAATACGGGTACTTACGGCGCTCTGGAATAATCGGGATCGTTAATATCGGGCGAGGTCAAGGGAGTGGCAAAGAATCCCGTGGGAACAGGTACAACAGGCCTGAATTCGAAATTCTGGCAGGACAGTTCGACGTCGAACAGCCCCGCGAACAGCATAATCAACTTGTCCGGTGCGAAAATTTTCACAAACACTACGTCATTATCGACCTGGAACAAGAATTTTTCATTTACTGTCCTCCATTCACGCAGCTGTGCAGCTCTGAACTGTTCAAGAACGCGATACTCTCACTCCATTCAATTGAGTCATAAAGTTCCAGAACTGGTTCCGCGCCATATGGAGGCACCGGGCTTCCGGGCTATCGCGCCCAGCTCCTTTCAGAACCGTTCTCGAGTAGCCCAGGGTGTAAAGCTCTGGAACTTGAAATTCGCCGAATGGAGGACAGCAATTATAGGCTTGGTGTATATTCTCCGCCGGTGCTGCCACCATCGGAGAACATCGTAAACAACTTTTATATACAAATACACGGGTTTAAATAGCGAGTATACGAAAAATGTATTATATAGTCTATAAAATGAATAACTTTGAATTTTGACCGTTATTTTTTACCAACATGGCAAATACAAAATCCCTCTGTCAAAAAAGTTACTGATATTCTTTAAATTGAGTGCCTGAACTAGCCTGAACGAATCAGATAGGTAACTCTTTTTACTTTCGTGAAATAGAAAAGGAAAATAATAAAACAAGTGACAATTCTTCCTCTTCTTGCAAAAGAAATCAACAATGAAATGTCATAATTGACAAAGTAAAATGTCATCAGCTTTTGACATTTTTAAATATTAGACCAATGCCGTCTCTATTAGAACAGCCACGGAACGAGATTTATGACGTCACGCTAGTTAGATAATACGGATTAATAAATATGTTGGAGAATACATGGAAACATAATTATTCCTCGTATTTTTGGTTTGTATTTTAAAAATAATATAGTTTACATAAAATATACATAATATACAGTTAATAAATACAATATAATATATACCTATTTATTGTAATAAATACTTTGGCTAATAAACATGAACCATACAAATGCAGCAAATGTTTTACAATATACAAATAATGAATAGGTGGTACATAAGATAACGGGTAAAATGTAAAATATTTTAAATTTTGGGGTTCGAAAATCGATCTAATTTAACAAAAACATTCAATATCTACTAATAGTGATGTATTATTATTTGCATTCACAAAATTTATTTATATGTTATAATGTTTACTGCAGTTAATAAACTAATATAAACTTGTCAAAAGATGACCACATATTTTTTTTAAATTATTATTCTTAACACAAAACTATCTACATTGACTATGGAGTACGATTTCAGTCATATTGTAAAACATTTGCTGCATTTGTATGGTTCATAGTTTATCTGCCAAAGTATTTATTAATATAAATAGGTATATATATATTGTATTTATTAACTGTATATTATGTATATTTCATGTAAACTATATCATTTTTAAAATACAAACCAACAAATCGAGGAATAATTATGTTTTCCATGTGTTCTACAACATAGTTCTGTAGTATCTAACTAGCGTGACGTCATAAATCTCGTTGCTAGGCTGTTCTATCAGAGACGGCATTGCGTCAGTATGGCCGCAAGTTGCTAACCTAATAAAATTAATACTAGAAAAGCCCGTGGGAACTGTCAAATTCAAAGTTATTCGTTTTACAGACTATATAATTATTCTAAATGTGTTAGAAAGTATAATTTGTGAAAATTCTAAAAATAAAAAGTAAATATTTTGATATCTTCAGAAGGTCGAACTTGTATTATAATTTATTATTCCAGTTAAAAAAACCTTTTAGATGAGTTCAACAACGCCAACTACGGTAGCGAGCATAGTTTTAATCACCGGTTTTGCTAGTGGGGTCATAATTGGGGCTATTTCGGCTAATACCTAATTATAATTTTAGAAGATGTTCATAAAACATTTAATCGCTAGTTGATTAAAAAAAGTATACCATTAATATTGCAAACTATATTTTATCCACTCATAGTATATGCCTATTTAATTTTTTGATTATGTAACGAACACTTTGTTTACTTACTTGTTTCGTCGATCTGCTTGAATCTTTTTTTTTTCTTTTGATGAAATCGATGTGAGAAACTATGATGAAGCTATAAAATGTTGTTTCGGGACGTTGAATATCCGGGAAAGTTCAGTTATTTAATGTTATTGCACCCAACAACGCCCTAATTACGCTCTTCTTTAGGCGTTAACCCTTTTTCAGCAATTTTATTAACATTTGAAATTGTCACAACACGACACGACGACGCACAGTGATGCTGAAAACGCGAAAAGTGGCAAAAAATAATTTCTCAACTTACTACTACATTTTTTTTTAAATTATTTTTGTTAAATGTGGTTTTCTAAGTTATAAGTGATGTTTTGAATTCGGAAAATTGAATTATGTATACAGAGTGTACTTAAATTGGCTGTAAAAAATATAAAATGGGTTGTAAAAAATTTAATTATATTATTTTGTCTTTAATAGCATATTAATTTAATACTTTTATAATCTTTATAAAGTTTAAAAAATCAAAAAAAGTTTGTGTGTACACCTAAATAAATATACAGGGTTTTATTTTCAGCCCCTTACAATAGAATTAGCATTTCGTTTTTAATAAAATTAATCCTTTTTTTCAGAACTAGTTACCAATAAGTATTACTTAAATTCAACTTAAAAAATATATTTACATTCATTTTCATGAGAAAACAAAAGAAACTAAATATATCTGTATATTTTATGTAGTTAGCTATTAATGAAAGTAACACCAAAATATCTAAAAGATTGAGCGCTCTTTTCGCATTAGATGTAAGCAGTTGTTCACTTACAACCATTTAATTTTAGTTATATTTTTAAATGTTCTATAATTTAGAAATATCTGTAATTACCTGTGGTAAAAATATTATACTTAGATTATAATTAGAACTTAGTTACAAGAATTTAATACGCAAGAAAAAGAAACTAAAAATTATCCTAAAGCTTCTAGATAAGATGGATAATATATTTAACATGGATTTAGCAAATGGATAAAAAAATAGAATAATTTAATCTATAATAAGTTTTGGAGCCTCAGGATGCTGTTCTATTTTACTTGACAGGAGAAGTCTTGGTGATCTCTTACTATATCCGAGAAAATTAGTACCTAGAAGGTGCATGACATTCTTGATAAAAGTTGTTGACTGAATATTGACGGATCATAGACACATTGACACGTCTTTGTAGTTTATATTAACAATAAATTATTGAAAATTAATGATATTTCTAATAATATTAAATTTAATGTCATATAAGCACAAAACGAATAAAAATTTAGGCTTAATAGGGAAAAGCTAGTTAAAATTACACATTAAAAATTATTTGAATGCTTTGTATACTTTGAATACTTTGTATATCGAAAATTAAATTGAATAAGAGAAAATATATTAGAGTTTCCTTTCTAAAACTAATTAAAAATAACCAACAACAATATTCTACAGCATCTAAGAAACACCCAGTAAAATACTGTCATACGTAATTTATTTTGGAAACTAAATCATGGTTTTCAGGAGAGTTAGGCAACCTAAAGGGTATTTGTGGGCTAATGTTGGTCATGAAATTTTGTAATTATGAAGAAAAAAGGCTAATAATTGTAACCTACATCATATTTTTTTGGAGCAATTTGGAGCATTTTGTATTTGCTTACATAAAATGTGATTTTAGATTAAGCAGTTCTTAATTACATCAAGGTCTTTATTGATTTTTGTTATGGTACCAGGAAAGTTAAAACTAGAATTACCATGAAGAAAAACAGTTGAAAACATTGTACTTTCTCAGAGTACCATCAGTTTTTCGCTAATTTATCACCAACGTTAAACGCACTAATTTTATTTAATCAAAATATTTTAGCTTCAGCTAATAATTTTATAAGTTCGAACATTTCTTATCAGGGATTGATAATGGGCCCGTCTATATTCAAAAATCTTCACGATTCTGAAAATATGGACTATTATACGAGTGAAATTATAATTAAAAATAAATACTTCTGATATTTTGATTTTCTGCCGCTATTGGGAACTTCTGCATCACTGTGCGACGCCTAGGTCGAATTCTTTTTCACTTATTTTTTACTGCCCGAAACAGCGTTACATCACACCAACATCGTACCTGAGTGTTTTATGATCTCAATAACTGCACTAGCAAACTAAAATACTTAAATATTATGACAAAGCTACGATTTCAATATTGTTTTAATGCGATCAACATGAACTGTAACAGGGACGGCGTGAAATACATAGCGAAAATTTCTAATTTCTGCCGTATACTAGGGAATGCAATCCCGCACCAAAATCTCAATCCCGCAAACCCGCGAGATTAAAGCAATCAATCCCGCGGATCCGCAAAATTGCTGGACTGTAAACAACAGTCATACATTTGGTCCTAAATGGTACAAAAGGCATTGTACATTTTGCATAGGCCCATAATATATTGATATAGCGTGTATCTTAAACTAGCTGTACAGAAATTTGGACCGATGTATAAAGAGTGTTCAAAAAATATATTTAATATTAAATAAACTTAAATTTAAATAAACAAAAATACGAGTAGCAAAAAAAGGGGCCAAAAAAACCTACATATATATAATTAAAATAAACTTAAATTTTATTATAATTTATCTACCTACTTATTTTATAAATAAAAATATTATTCTGATGTTGAAGTTTTTTTTAACTTGTGTTAGTTATCTGCTTTTAGATACACTCTATATGAATAATTTTTTGGCATATGTAGAATGTACAAAGCTTTTTATACCATTTAGGACCATACGTATATATGACTAAAAATGCATATTTTTCGAAAAAACGTCGAATTTTCCTTAAAACAAAAAAACTTTTTTCCTTAAAAAACCGATCAAATTGTTTTTTCTAATTTCAATACAGATTAGTCGTACTTGGTAAAAATTTCGATTTTTTAAAAATTGTAAATTTGCGGTAAAAAAGATTCTTAACCAAATTTTCACACTCTTATAAAACACCCTGTATACGAGAATTCACTAAATATATTTTCGAAAACCACATAACATCTTAATCACAATAGATGCATCTAAAACCTGGTCCAAACCGCATTCAAAAATCTTTTTTAGTTCAAGAGATATTCAACTTTAAATTTACCCTAAAATTTTGCTTGTCCCGATAATTATGTCCGGCGGTTTATTTGACGAAATTGTCCACAAGTACTAGTTAAACGCTTTTCTTCACTTCACATACGCCAGAAAGAAATCTAACAAGTAACCTGTTTGTTTCACTTATTTTTAATGGCCAACCCGTAAGGGGAATCCCCCGGGTTCCGAGCGTCGACGCATCGGCCCGGAACGTAGCGGTTTGATCTTGATTGAGATCGATTCGGTTACCCAGTAGTAATGTGATGATCCCGCAGATCCCGCACGGTAAATCCCGCAACTTTGATTCCGCGGAATCTCAGAGAGATTGCATTTCCTACCGTATACAGCGCTACGGTCGGAATTTTTTGAAATCATCCACTGTGAGAGAAATCTAGGCCAAAGTTTACAGAATGATACTGTAAACTTTGCGTAGCCTGTACTTTAGATGAGATAGAGGACGATATGTTTACTCTTTTAGTCTCATATTTATTTTACAATAATTATTGAACAAATTCAAAATTTGATTGATAAAAAATTTTACTAAAATTATAAAAAAATAAATGACAACAACATACCGAAAAAGGTTCTTCCTCTATTTCTAATCCTAATTTCTGTAGGCTTTCCAAGAAGCCTTTGTGCCTTTTTTCATGTTTTTCGCTATCAAGAGTCGATAATTTGTACACTAAAATAAAATCTATGGAGCGTTTTCCATCTTTAAAAGTCGGAACAGTTGGAGGAGGAGGAGCCATTTTGACAAACCGTCAAATTTTGACATTGTCTATAATCAAAAAAATCGAATGCGAAGAATCCATTGAAAAATCGATAGAATTCTGACTTGATTCTGACAGTGGCAATAATTTTTGTCACTGTCACTTACCATTTTATCATTAACTTTTGTAGAACACCCTGTATACTACAAAATATTTTTAGGATATCCACATTTATAAACAATCCAACATGTAAAACTTTTTTTCGTATCTTCGTCAACAACGAATAAGACTTCCTCGCGCTAATGGGCCACCCTATATATTCATATAACAATAGAGCAGTCCTGTTGCCAAATTTAAGTTGAACGTTTACTTTAAAATAAGTAATTACACTAAAATTATGTCTATAAGTTAACTCTAAACTACAACACACGTTTTATATTTTCTTGAGTTTTACAATAAAATAGTTGGAGAGCTAAATAAAAGCGTTCTTTTACCTATAAAATTGCAATACTTTCCGAATGTAGATTTCTTTCAAAGATCTGCCATCCTTTAGATTTGACAACACAGCTTTTTATTTATCCCCCTGTGGCAGCTGCATGGAGCAGCTGGCAGCTGTGTTTACCCGTAGGGTTGTCCAAACAATTATATTTGTACGTATTTCAACAGAATTACAAATATTTTAGTACATCAGTATAACAGAGCTGTTCATAAACTTAAAATAAATAATGGAATCTGTAAAATAATAATTTTGCCGAAATATTCGCATATTTTTTGGAGAAATGAATCTTTTTAAGAATAGATTATCTCTTAATTATTTAAGAAAATATTCGCCGGACCTCGGTGTACTACATTTTGTATTTACTAGACATTTTTAAGAAGGTAGAGATATTTGTGTCTTTTCTGTACCTATCAACATCTTATTGACCACTGTAAACACCTTCTCTGCATGACCATTTGTCCCCAGAAGGCAAACAAAGTTCAATAATTTTTGTACGAAATAGGAAATACTTGCATATCTCCCAAAGAAAAATGCTGAAAAATCTTCACTTATTTTGTATCTGTAGCACCATTGAGATAGATACGAAAAGATATTTAGAGACATTAGAGATTAGAGACATTTTTTGCACAGAACCACAGAAGAACAAAAAACAAAATGTTTGTAAATTCATATTAGTACAATTTTATCGCCGTTTCTGTACAAGAGAATCGGGCCAGTAACAACCTTTATTTATCGGTTATTATTCTATTTAATTGAGCTGTGGTAATCATTGGCATTTCATGTCAGTTGTCACTTCATGTTTTAGAAACATTCATTTCAAAATTTGTTCGTCTTGGAATGTAGTGTGTGAAATTAGTGTTTCCAGTTTATTTTACTTTAAGCGATTGATTACACAGCGTGCATATTCGAAATTACTCAGCAAGAAGCAATAACTAACTTAGTTTTTTCCAAATTCAGCCGGGAAAAAGTGAAAAAAACAGTTTCAAAGGTTGCTTAATATCTGTGTGAAATACCCATATTTTTATCTCCAGCTCCAGTCAGTATTTTCTTCTGATAACAATGGTTCGTATTTTGCGTTAAATAAAGCAAATTAAAATAATTAAACAAACTAATTGTTAATAGGATTGTCCGCTTTGCGATATAAATGAGGAATGTGATGATGAACATTCACAAAGTGCCTTACATAGATTTAACTATGCTCTGCATGATTTTAACCAATCCAAGTAAGTATACACTATAATACACTTATAATAATGTTTATAAATTGCCAAATATATTACTAAATGGGCTTAAAATATACGTAACGTATATTTATTAAAGGTATGCTGTCAATTATTTCAAAAATAATAGTTCATATACATAACAAAAACTATTCACTTGCAATGAGAAATTAATCAGAAAATGTTAATGTTACTAGACAACTATTTTGGTTTTATAGTTATATATATCTTTTCTTGTGAAGCTCATTACTAGATAGACCATTTAAGTTCAAAAATTGCTGGATAAAACAATATTTTTTATATGTATAAAAAGTGGTTTTCCAAGGAGTTTGTAATTTTATCCTATAGACCATTAGCTTTCTATTTTCTATTTAAAAAAATGTATATGTTTATCTGTATATTATGTCACAAGATCCATAGATCTTTTCTAATCATTAAAATACACTTTTAAAAAAATAATGAAAACAGGAAATTCGAGTTTTTCCGCCATATTTCTGGAAATACAAAAGATAAGTTATTAAATGGATTATCATTGAGCTCATTAACAAGTGCCTTTACGTAATTGGAGGCATCTCTTACTCAAATTAGAGAACACCCAGTATATGTATACAGCCCATCGAAAACGTTCCGCAAGGCATAACGGCCCGGGTAATTTTTTTTTCAGAAAATTCAAAAACACGTCAATTTTGTTTGTGAGGGGGACAACTTTTGCCCCAAAAATGATTGCAAAATCTTTAACCCTCTAAGCGGGGTGTCATCCCCCAGTTTTTACCGTAATGAAAAGGGCATTCTATTCTCTATACTTTCCCACTTTGTTTTTGAAAATCGGTCAAGTCATTGTGAAAATATGAAGGATTGAAATTTGAAAAGTTTATTTAAACATTTATCAGAGTAAATGATAAGGATAAATTCTTTCGACTAATTTGCTGTTTTTTCTTATTATTTCTATTATTATATTTATTCATTTTTGGGGCAAAATTTGTTCCCCTCGCAAACAAAATTGAAGTGTTTTTGGATTTTTTGAAAAAAAAATACCCTGGCCGTTATGCCTTGCGGAACGTTTTCGATGGGCCACCCTGTATATTTTTTACAATACCTTAAGAATTAAAAATTTATTAATTATTCTCAATATGAAATTTTCATAATAATTCTTAGGACAGGGTAGGTAGGATAATGTGGATTTTTATAAGAATTTGAGTTGTTATAAAATTTAAATATGAACTATAACTCGTCTGTATAATATTCAATTTAGTCCTTTTTATATTCCTTACCATATCAATAAAAACCTTTATAAAACCCTAGATCAGGTATATAATACTACCTGGTTATTCCCAGATGATAATGGACGATACAGATGAATTTATGATGGAAATAAAATGCGAATAACCCCCACTTATTTCAAACATTTGAAATTGAAATTTACTGTAATACCAGACGACAAAAAAAACGGCGTAAAAGACGGCTGGGGAATGACAATCGATAATAATTTTGGCGAGGTCAAGACCTAGACGTCATTTACTTGACAGGTACTCTTCTTTATTTCTTAATGGCGCTTACTGCCAGTTGGCCTTTATATGTATTTTTTGAATTAAGTAAAAAGCAGGGTTGGCATGATTTATTTTTTAATTTTAATCATGTGATTTAAAAAATAACTGTAAAAGTTATAAAAATGTGTCCTAGAAAACTATAAAAAATATTTCTATAACAGATATGACAGATAATAAATCGAAAAATAGTTGTAAATGTTATAAAACTATATAAAAATATCTATTCATCAATTTAAATGTTGGACCGATTTTTGAAGTAATTTCGTGTGAATCCATTAGACCCCTCAACGCAGGGATTTATTTTAAAATTTATGTATAAGTGGCAAAAATTTGCTGTTCGAATTAATAACATTAGCAAAGTCCAGTGCATAACTTCTTCATTCCCGAGAATCTATAATCGTCAGAAAATGTGTTGTTTTATTTTTTTTTTGAAACGTATGTTTGAAACGAATAGAACATACTAATTTTTTAATCAATTTCAAACTTTGCAAATAATATGAACAATAATCAAGTAACAATTTGTATACTCGTTGAATTTGACACTTAATATCACTTTAATAATATATTTTTGTGCTTTTGTGCTTAGGCGTAACCGTGCTTTACTTTTATGCCTTTTATGCCGATCCTTTTGATCTGAAGCGAGCGACTTTTTTGCGGAATATTTTCGTGACCGATGTGGAAAAATGACACACATTGTTAATGTTATCGGTATCGGGCAGAGTTATAAAGATTTAGCCATTTAGGATAGGACTTTAATTGGAAATATGTCCTAGTGATTCGGAAATCCGATTTAAACATTGTTTTGAATTAAAAATCAAAAAAATCTGATTTAAATGAAAAAAATCTGATTTTTTTAATTTTTTTAGAAAAATCATGATTTTTTCCAACCCTGGTAAAAAGTAGCTATTTTTTACACTATCTACTGTATTAAAAGTCAATTTTTTTACATTAGTGCAAAAAACCCATTGACATTATTAACACAGATTAGGTATCCTATAAGTATACAGATAAAAATCTTGTCCCTAATTCGTGGTACGAAAATTGTTTTTTATGACGAAGTGCAAACGAGTAAAATTTCCTGTGCGCAAAAATAAACTCGCGTAAAATAACAATAAACAGCGTAATTAGAGGTGTGTAGTTCGTGAACGAACTAGTTCCAACGAACTATTCCGATCCCGGAATGAAAGGAACTAGTTCCTGGTTTCTCAAACAACTAGTTCCTCAGGACCTATTCCGGGATCGAGACTGTGACCGATATAGAATAATATGCGACGACGACGGATCGGCTAGCGCGCGTAGCCCAATGGTAGGCAGAAGTGGGGAGTGCTAGCCGTACGTTATCGGATCCGGACCTAGAGGAACTAATCTAAATAGAGTAGTTTACGTACTAACGGATCGGGCCAGTGCGATCGATGCTAGACAGGATTGGGGAATGCCAGCCGTATGCCGTATGTTATCGGATCCGGAACTAAAGGAACTAAATAAAAGACTAGTTTACGTATGGATCAGCCTGCGCGATTGATGCTAGGCAGGCGTGGGGAGTGCAAGGCGACGACGATGGATTCGGCCTTGTCTATTGCCACAGCCGGCACGGCGTAATTACCACAGAAAATTGTCGTGGATACTGTTTTTGATTTTTAGTTTGTTTTTTAAATATTTTGTGGAAATGTTTCACTTTAGGTCCCTAAAATTAAGAAATATTTTATAAAACGAAGTAGATATTCTGAATTTTTAGACAAAAACAAAAAGCTTGAAGTGAGGAAAAATGCAATTTTTCGTAAAATTTTTGTAAGATTTGCTCCAATTGATTTGTGATATAGTTTTTTAAATTCTGATTTGATTTTTTTTTTAATTTTTTTATCTGCTATAAAACTTACCTATATGTTTTTAACATACACAATTACACGTTTCGTTATATCTCCGTACATTCTTCTCTTCTTCCTGTGCCATGTACTTAGCCGCACGTTGGCGATTGTCTGTACTCTTCATACAATGTGTAGAGTGCCGTTTTCGGCTCTTCGAAATATTTGTCCGTTCCGTATAGCTCCATACATTCCGTATAGTTCCGTACATTATAAAAATTATACAGATCATACTGTGAAAAGTTCTGACTGACAACGCATTAGCAAGCAAGGGGGATGTCAATGTTAGTCGGGAACTATTGTGAACTAAAGACCTAGTTCAGGGAACTATTCCTATGGAGGAACTAGAACTAAGGAACTAGTTCCTCTCAAGGAACTAGAATTCCCACCTCTAAGCGCAATAGAGAGATATCGCTAAACCGAATAGCGTGCATGGACGTTAATAAGGCCAGGTATTATTTCCTTTGCGTGAGGTGGTATTAACTCTCTTCAATTATAGTTATCGTATCGGAAAGTGATTCTGTTCGCGTCGCGTCCGCTATTTAAACTTAACCTAACTTTGAATTTAAAACTTTGAAATTGTTTTGTTTATTAGTTATTTTAAAATTAAAGGGCTAAAGTGCTTATTTCCAGTGTTTCATTGTTCAACGTCTGCCAGTGGGTTTAGGGCAACAAGCAACAAATTGGAACAAGGGCTAAGTCATCATCTGCTGTAAACCTAAGCCTCTTTATAGGTTCTTTAATATTGGAAGAGGTGGAATCCATATTTAGGGCCATATTTATTTAAATAAAACTAATTCCAGCTACTTAAATATCAAATTACCTAATAAAACTCAAGTAATAATTCAAAACAATTCAAACATAACCTAAAATAAAAGATCTCGCCGGCCGGCCCCGGTTGTCAAATACCCGCACATGCCCATTTAAGCAATTTTTAAACGTTATTTAGAAATAGCGCTTGGTGTAATTGATCCGCAAATTACGTCAGGCGGTAACGTTATTAGCGGGTGTTGCGTTAAAAATTGACTCGCGCATATCGTAACGTGTAGTCTTTGTCGTAACCATGATAAGGTACGCGTAAATACTGCATGACGCTATTCGGTTTTCCGATATCTCTCTAATAACTGTGCCGGGCAGGCGCTGTGCACAATTTTAGAGGCCATAAGTGGGCGTGCTATGTGCGCAAACTAGTAACCTAACTAGTACCCGATTCCGAAAATTGGAACCACGAAAAACAATAAAGAAAAAACAAAGTTTATAATCTGTATAATCTGTGTTATTAATGACGAGTTTAACTAAAGAGAAAAAATTTGTAAATATTTGTCAAATCTTGGAAGGTAAACTAAGTACCAATACTGGACACGTCGCAGCAACATTCCGGAAAAGAGTTTTAAATGAAGAACAAGAACCCGAGACCTCCACGAGCAGAAATGAGAATAAAATTCAAAAGACTACTGGAAATGAAGTTTGTCCATCAATTACCTTAGTGAATTGTTCAAACTGCGACATTAATATTAAAATAAACTCAAAAAAAAATATTAAAAAATATAAAAATAATATTTGTTTATCGTGTCATTTTTAGTGGTAATATTAT